CTTGAATTGTTTGACATTTTTCGTAGTTCAGCGATGAAAGAGTTGTCAGTAGTCGAATCCTTGTGTTTACGCAAAGTTGTTCCATGTAAAAATACACGATTTTGGTGAGAGATCATCGCTTTTCGCCGCCATTTTATCACAAATGGATTTGGGTAATGTGGATACGAGGGAGGGGTACGGGTTTGTGTTATGAACCATGAAATATCCGATAAAATCTACCTATTAAACTCACCTTGCGTAAGGTTTATTATGAAATTGACTTCGAGCAATGGTCTCGAAATACCACAAAATTAACTTTAAACCTTTGAGAAATAACTCAGTACAATCTTATTGTGGTATTGATGTGTGTACAGCCTGTTTTCGTACTAGTTAAAGTTTTCGATGAACAAATTACGTCATCAAAGGAGAGAAGTCGTTGTCAGCGGAAATGAAAATTGTTTTTACCTAGCCGTTGCTCTTCGGTGGAATAAAACAAGACATGAGAAACACAAGGAGATCAGTAGGTCGAGTTCCAGGTTGTTTCAGAAAAACTCTAAATCAGTGATTTCTTTGGATGGTCTAACTGACTGGAAAAACTGGATCAAGTATCACTGGATCACCGGGTCAAGGATCACCGGATCAAGGATCAAGGATCAAGGATCACCAGACCAAGGATCAAGGATCAAGGATCGGTTCAAAATGAATCAAATGAATTAAATAAGTTAATAGGCATGGTTGATTGCTCATCTACGTGACGCAGTCAAGATCTCTCTCTGTTGACAGACAGGTGTTGTTTTTCTAGCCCTTCCCCGCAGGCTTGAGTCGATTGTGCTCGTAAAACTGGCATATTATGCTCCTAGTACTGCTCAAAATTTTACGAAATTTAAGCCCGAGTTATGCTCGTTTCTCTAAATTATGCTCCTGGCATCAAAATTATGCTACTTGATTTTTAAGCAAAATTAAGGCAGAGCACCGGGGTAAACACAAACCAAACAGCAACTGATTACTTATCTGGTAACTGCAGCCCATTATTTTAATGAACCAATTATCAAACATTGTATCGTTGCATGTTTCCCCTGCATTTGTTCCTCAGAATCGATAAACATGCTGCTCATCATTTTTCAATCAACGGAGCTTCTTAAGTCAAAGTAAGAATGCAGAGTAATACGCTTATCAGCGTTTATTGTACTGAAGCATAACACAAGCCCGAACATAATCTCCTAGAGCATGGTCTTGCGAATCGTTGAAAGAGGAGTTAATTAATGAGACATTGCCTGAAGAACTAAAAGTGTTCGACGAGGTGGACGCCACATTTTATCTTGGATCCCAGTCAACTCGCTAGCGAGTCGCACGAGTAGGGCCTAAAACCAACAAACGTTACAACGACCGCAGTGAATTCACCGTAGGCGCAATTCATTATTAGCAACAACATTCTAGAAACATAATTCAGTCAAGAGAAGTATATTCAATACAAAATTACGAAAATTTTTCACATCGTGGAAGTAAAAATGCAGATTATGCCGGCAGTGCTTTTCTTTGAAAAAAGGTAAAAATTATGCTCGTTTTGTCAAATTATGCTAAAAATTATGCTGGCACAATCGACTCAAGCCTAGCAATCAGTCATGCCTATTAATTTATTTAATTCATTTGATTTATTTTGAACTGATCCTTGATCCTTGATGCTTGATCCTTGATCCGGCAATCCATAGATCCGTAGATCCGTAGATCCGTAGATCCGTAGATCCGTAGATCCGTAGATCCTATTTTTCCAGGAGCCCATATAAACATCCCAAAATGATTACCGACGCGGTCACCGGCACGTAGTTTAAATCAAACTTTTCCTCACAGAAATACCTTAATGGGTGTGATCTGAATATAATGGAAGCTTTGAGGAAAATATTTTTTCTTTGAAACGAGAGAATTTTACTTCAGGCCTCTTTTCCCTTTACAGGGAAAACAGGCCTGAAGTGAGGTCTAGTTTAGCTATCGAAACTTGAAAAGAAAGAACCGCCTCGTACATTCTTGCCTCACAAAATTCTCCCTTCCACAACACAGAACGTTCTCATTCTAATTTGAAGACATGGAGGAGAAAAAACAAAGGAGACTAAACAGAACCCAGCCGAAAGGTTTGTACAAGGAGATTATAAATAGGAACATTTAGGGCCCGTTATTTACACGAGGTCTAACCCAAACCACGCAATCAGTGGGCTTCAGGCTTTATAAGAGGGCCTATTTAATTAAATAAATTTTCTTCTACTGTTAAATAGCTTTCGGCCCTCTTAACGCTGTTCACAATAATGAATGTTCCGATAAAAGGTTCGGCTAAATTGAGGATCGTTCAGGATGCAGTTTTTATAAACAACGGTTAAACTTTGTTTAGATAATGAGACCTCAGAGTTTCGTATTGTGTTTTCGAAAACAGTCACCAAACAAGCGTTTATATTTTCTCGGAAGGAGAGAAAAAAAAGATATTTCAGGGAAAATTGGAATAGAAGAGTGGCCTAGAGTTCAATAAGTGATTAAATCAGTGTCATCACCCTACAATGAAAGTCATTTTCGTTGAATCAGTTGCTTCGGTTTTACGTGAAAATTTCAAATGAATTTGCAAATCGGAAAATTTATGAAGTGGAAGAGTACACTAACTACTACACTTTAAGAAGATCATAGGACAGAGAACTTTACAAAGCCAGTTTTATCCTGTGACGCGGGCGATAATTTCTGGACCTAAACGTGTGGGGGACGCTGCTCCGCTGTCTACGACCTTTGCTGCTAAGATCACCTATTGCTGTCAGAGAGCTCTTGAAAATCAGCGTGATCTCCTCTTCCCCCTGAATAGGAAATGTTTATGTACGTAACCTGCGGTAATAAGAAATCAATATATCACCATATATCAAGCGGCTTTCCTGAGTTATTTAATAAGTAACACAAAGTAAACTCCTCCTTTATTCATTCTGTAGAAGTCTTAACCGACCGGATGACTCAGCTTACAGTGTTAGCTTTAATTGCCGAGTAACTTATCAAAATAATTTCAGTTGGTGGGGAAAATAATCCGTGGGGAAGAGGGATTGTAAACCGCCGGTTCGTAATCTCTTGGTGGGGATCAGGAGTGCAGATAAATTTTTATTTTAGAGTTTTGTGGCTTTCCGAACTGCCTAAATGCGAGGAAAAGCTACAGACTGGGCATAACATATGCCACTTAGAGTGATTAGGGGGATTAAAATGTCTAGCGACTGGTTTGGATGCGTCTTTGTCATTCCCCTCTACGTCACGGAGGTGCTCTCGGGATGGGTCGCCAATTCGTCTTCCTGTTTCGCCGATATATATCTTTTTGCATTAAATGTAAGGGTTCTCATTGGCTACTTATAATGTCTGCCTTATTCTATTAATGGTTGCGATAACATTGGCGTTGGTTCTTGGTCGACTATAATGCCAGCTCTAGAGTTTTTTACTTGTAATTTGTCCATACCGTGGTCTCGTACAAGATCGAGTGAAGTTTCGAATGGAGTTCTTTAAAAGTTGGGCGATCTTTTGGTTTCTCTTGCCAGCACTCTAGCATAATGTCATACCTAAAGAGGACGCAATGAAAATAGAGGGGTTGCATATTGAAGTAACATATCACCTCTTATGACTAAACATGAAAAAGGTTGCATAGGTTTCTAACACCTAAAATTGTTTCTAACAACAGGCCTTAGGCGACACTTCAAAAACTAGGGATGATAGGCAATAACAAAGCGCTTGGTTTAAGAAGATTTAAATGATCGAACAACCAATAGGATATTAAAGTGCTTCATTCCATTTTCATGTTATCAGCCTTGAAATCTGCCCGTTTTTAATTGTTATGTAAAAAAGAGAACATTCTTTGTAGCTTTGACTTGCAGCATAAATAATCACTTCTTGAGGCTCTTTGTCAAACACAGGACAAAACCTGGGGCACGTTAGTTACAAAAACAACCCCCAGTCATGGTGCAAAGCCTGCAGCTACAATGCTTGGAACCTAAAATCTTCCTTATTAATTAAATAACTTACAGTTGTTTAGAGCAGTGAGGTGGTTTCTCAAGTCTCGTTCCATCCTGTAGCAAGCTACAAAGTTGTACAATGCTTGTAATTCCGATGTAAGGTTGCTCACCTGTAGAAGAAAATTCATCGTTAATATAGGGTAAAATCCATCTCTGTTCAATGACCAGGCACACATTTTCCAAATCTCTCTTCAAAGGGCGCGATCGACGTTACTGATCGGAGCGTCATGCTGACGTTTAATACTGGCATTTCAATTGAATCTATACTGTGACCTAAGATGCCAACGAGCTGTAGCCGTGGCCATACAGAGCAGTTAGAACAGTAATCGAACACGTAATCGGAAGGTCTAAGGTTAGTAGAATCTCTACGGGCAATTCAGTCAAATCTACATCGTCTAACACGTATGACTTATGTTTAATTTTGTTTTCGAAGTGTCTTCTGCTGCCTGGTATAAAAGAAACCATCTTAGCATGATTCTGCTTTCATATCAATGTGCCATCAAGGTTTTTAGGCATCCAAGCAAGACTACGGTCAGGAAAGAGGCAGGACGCTACTTTTACGTTTCCACTCACCCAAGGTGACGATTTCCCAGAGAACGACACCAAATGACCAGCTGGAAAAAAACACACAATACTGTATTTTAGATTCCAGCGTTACAAATTAACGTCTTTTAGCCGGACTAAGTTCGTTTAATCGTTCGTGCTTTTTATAATCATGCACGCCTGTACTTTCGCAATTAAAACTATGATCAACCGTCTAACTGCTTTAGCATTGTTATGGTAGAACGAGTTAAAGGCTAAGAATACAATCACTAACATTGTGTATCGTACAGGTCAATATAGTTATTGGCAGGGCTAATGGTGCAGTTGCCAGGTATAGTGTCATTTGGTTATGTTATTTTTGTTTTTTTGTCTGTTTATTTCAGCGCTGATGCAAAAACACTTTCTTTTGAACCTGATGAAGGTGATCGAAACCTATCATAGTCCTTATACAAGACAGAGTGTTGGAAAACCGTGAACACTTTGATTTGATTCTGACAAATCTATCGTGTTCTGATCAATAATAAAAATAAGAGCAAGACATCCAGAGACACCAAAAACCAAATGTGAATGAACGTTACTGATGACGACTCGACTTTCTCGTACCTGTTTAGCATTTTCCTCGGAAAACGATTTATTTTTACGGTATGAACGGTATGGCTAGTTATAAAATAGGCCGCTACTCACACATCAGACATCGTGGTGTAGATTCCCCTAAAACTCTCCAAAGACATCCATAGCCACGGGATTTTGCCCTGTAATTTTGCATTTGAGAATACAAGTAAGGTGTAACCCCGGTATATCCATTTTTGAAAAAAACAAGACTGTAAATTATTGTTTTTTTCTTTTTTCATGGACTTGCAAATAAAAAGTTTAAAAGAAATTGAAAAAAGTGACATAGACGTTGTCCAGGGGACAAAGAACGCGCCTTCACAACACAAGGGTTCTTGAACACAAGGTTTAATAATCGAGAGTTGCACACTCAGCATATTTTCTTAACAACACAACAGGATCGGAATTGGAGTCTCATCTTTGGCTAACAAGCTTCACCTCGCAATTAAAAACCTACAAAACAAACACTTAATCACTGTTGGAACGGGATTTGGAAATACAAGAGCTCCTAAGACTCACCATACGATGAGAAACACCCGGCGACTAGCGCGTTACAAAGCACATGGTTTCTTTCTCGCTACACGACGACACTGAGACGCGCTCACTAAGCATGCTGGGAGTATAAATTACAAAAATAGAATGGAACGGACTTAGGAAAACAAAATTGTTCCCTTACTGAGGATTGGCCTCAACAGACGTTTATGTACCTCGGTGCACTTAATGTAAACTCCATCTTGAGAAATGTCACGTGACATTCCAAAATCTGCCACCTTTGCTATCAGTCCCTCACCGATCAAAACGTTTCGAGCAGCCAAGTCTCTATGAACGCACTGAACCCATAACAAATGAAAGACGCACAGGTTAGTTAAAACATACGTATGTTTCCTCTTTCTCCGAAAATGAAAAGAGAGTCCAAGAAGCTCAGTAAAGCCACCCAACTTGTATTTACTGTAGTTTCTTAATGTCTCTGTTTGTTTATCTTCTGTCCGAATTAGAAGGAAAATGTTTTTCATTTGGACGAACGTAGTGAGGGAAAAAGGTATTTTTGCACCTTGTCGCCGTGCAAGGACCATTGTAGCTTAATGGTTAAAATCCGAAGGTGAGTGCCTTTTTAATTTCCTTTACACCACCGTCGTACAAAAACGAAAAGGCCGTAAATTTTTACGAACTCACGTTTGTACGAAATATTCTCTTAACCGCAGCTGAATTTCAAGGTCAGTCGAGAAGAGTACACACAACAAATTATTACTCACCAGTTTGCTTTCTAAATGGCGCATTCCATTTGAAACATCTGAAGCAATTTTTAACAGTTCCCTCTCGGACAGTTTCGACCAAACGTTGACATAATTTGTATCTAATGCCCCGACAGGAATTCGACTGTCACGCAATATCTGATCAAGACTTCCACCAGGTACAAACTCAACAACCACACACAAAGGTTCTAAGGACAGAAATAAAAGCGCCATCGACAAATGTATGTATCAATAATGTTTATGCTCAATTGGCATACCCACCACACATATTTATTCCTTCGTTCAATTATTTCTATTAATTAAAAGAAACTCGGTTTACTTGTAACTTAACTAAAAGTCAAACAGATTTTCATGCATCTAACTTTTCTTAACGTATATTAATTTTCCCGACCACTCTCGGTCGTTTCTGCAGGGAAACACAATTGTATCTGATAAGTCACTACCATAAAATTCAAATCTTTGCATTCATAGCTGAAGTAAGCTTACTGACAGGCAGGCAATATGGTAAATGACCCCTATATAAATTCAACAAAATTGTTCTTGCCTGTAAAGCTTTATTTTCGCGTGTTACCTTCAAATGAGCAGGCCCCAACGAGGCTCACTATGTTTGAATGGCGACCAACTTTCCTAAGAATTTCTAACTCATGGATCAGACCAATGCGCTGCTTTTCATCTGTGTTATCTGATAAAAAAAATAAATAAAAAAAAAGCAAAAAAAAGCAAAATTTCAGTACATCGAAAATTCACGAAGAGTTTGCTTTTTTTCCTCAGTACAGGCTATTCAACATGGTTAACCAGCAGAAAAGTTTCATTGCGACTAATAGACTGCACTGTGTTAGAAAAATCGGTCTCTTAGGGGCATCTGGCCAAAACACACAGCTAATTGTACAGGCCGTGAATGATAACGCGCAAAGATCTTATACCGAAGGTTTTAATCGTACCCACCATGGGTTCCTAAATAACAAAAAGTCATCAAAATGTCAACAAAAAGTCGTCAAAAAGTCTTAAAGCTTTGTTTGGTTCTGCAAGAAAAAAGGAGAGAGCGAATATAACTTTTGATTATGTCTAACCTTTCAACATTTTAACAGCAACGGGCAGTTTCTGACCATCTCTCCTGACATAGCTTCCCTTTTTTACGACTCCAAACTCTCCTCCACCAAGTTTTTCTTCTGTTATTTCCAGTTTTTCTCGAGGAATTTCCCAGTTCCTGTCAATTCCCATTTGCTTTAGATATGTCTCATTATCAACAACCAATACTTCGTCTACGACCGCGAGGGGTGTATCCAGCTGTCCTGTGGAAAATTGCCGGCCTAGACCTCTTAAATGGTTGATTATGTCCGTCGTAACTTCAACCATGTGAATATCATTTTCACCGATCTTCCCCTAGAAATAAAAGAGAATCGAAGGATAACTTTCCAAAACGTCAATCAAGTCAGTTTTCATTTCATAAAAACAAAAAATAACCACTTTAAAATCAGTAGAGAAAGCAAAGCAAATAAATTATAATTTGTTAATATACCTTGTTGACATTCTCTTTTCTCTTCCGTCTGATTTGTTTTGCAAAATTAACAATAATCGTAACTAGTATGGCTAATGCAAGTGCACCGACTAGTCCCCAGATTATTTTGAAAGGAATTTTGGAGGTTGATTCTTCTATGACGTAAAAAAAAACATGAATGATTAATGGCGGGGTTTTCAGTGATTTGAACTCCATGGAGAAAAACAACCATGCCCATCATTTTCATCTGGGGTTAACCTCACGGTGCCTTACGGGAATTTATTGATTTTTTAGGCGAAACATAAATATTGTTAAATACATGTACATAAATGGACAAAGACGAAAGCGACTGAGTCAAAAGAGGATAAGGAAACAAAGTAAAAAAAGAATAAAGACAGTTGTGAACGCCGCAAACAAAGACAAATTTTTGTTGTCCAAAAACTATGCTTTTAAAATCAATCGATGAGGGTGAAGTTTAGGAGATAAGCCGTTCAATACTCTAAATTTTCGCTCACCAAATTTTGTTAAATATTATTAATATTAAACTGAGTTTGAACACCTGACATGTGGTCTATGGACGACATCTGCCCTGTGGCCTATGGACCAGAGCTTGTCACGGTTTCTTGTTCACAAAGCTACTAAGACTAACACTAGAACTCAGATCCTGGATGTAGTGCTTGTCTATCGCAGGTAACCCGCAGCATGCAATTTATCAGGTTTCCCTATTCAGACTAAGAAAATCTCATCCCGGCCAGTACGGTGCTTTACCTACGAAAGGTCTTTTAGTTGATGGTAATTTTTGTGTAAACAACGTGGACTGAGAAAAGTTAGTTGTCGGCCAAGATCTTGTCAAGACTGGTCCTCTATTCGATTTGGTGCTTTTGTTTTCCTCTGATAGAACGGTTGTCGATGCTAAAAAAGAATCAGCAAGAAAATATGATAAAGACGTGTGTACAGTTTTAGCTAATTTTTTATATAAATATGAAAATTCGCTCGAGCCCCATGATCGTTGATAACTGTGGTATATGTTGTTCAGTCTTACAGACGGGGCATAAATGTAGCTACAGAACGCATGCGAAAGAAAGGTACTACATTTATTTTCTACATGTTCATAGTGCTAAATTCCACCAACCAGGCAATACAAAATTGTGCATATAATGAACAGCCTGTTTACAATGTCAGATCAGGTCCAGTCTCCATTCCACTCTGATCACTTCCACTCTCTCTTTCCTTTACTACTCACCATGGTGGTAAGATTCATTAAAAAGAAAGGAATTTGAGCAGACTCATTTTACCAAACTCGTAGAACAAAAAACTAAAATGAAATAAAAGCCTTTAAAATTGAGCCGCAGAATCAACAGCGTTACAGTTCATCTTCCCAGAGCCTTTCACAAGAAAAGTGAGTGCATACCTGTGGTCATTCTCCCAGCTTGTGTTGGGGAAGACATAGTATGTGAAACTTGATTGTCCACACTCCTATGCGACGTTACTGGTTCTGTTGTTAACTCTAAAATAAAAGAGGGAATACTTACAAAGTCAAAGTCATTTTAGTGTGACTCTTTCTTACTCTGAACGGACGAGCGGCACCATGGAATCTCATGATTTGTTAATCAGATTTTGGGCGCAAAGAGCGCAACCGATCCTCGTCGTATTTCAAGAATCCAATGTGAAAAGTGCTGTTTAAAGATCATGAAAGGTTCGAAAACCTGAACACCGAAGTTGTTTAAACATGAACGTAGCATATTGAGGCTGATAAGAAACCCTGGTCGACCAAATGGATTTCACAATTTCGTGCAGCGCATTAAGTTTTAAATAATTGAGAAAGTTAAAACAGTTTTGAGAATTTCTCACCTTTTTTAAATAACCCATTGCCACAATAGCGCAATGAACAAACAGGTGGCGGCCTTAATTTGTAAACGTAAAACTTTCCACAATTGCGAACTTTGATGAATGTTGAAAACAAACAGCAATCACTCCTCCAGGCAAACCAATGGAAACACACTTCACGTTCAACAGCACCTTCAGCTAAAGTAGGATGGGTCCCACTGAGCCAACCAGGTGCAAAAGTACCACAACGACCTTTGCTGACACAATGTTCAGCCATTTTAAAACCAGCCTCTCCGCTGAATCTGTACCAGCCAAAAAGTGTTCTGTCACAAAGGTGAATGAATGAAGTCGGGTTGTATGTTTCCGCTCTGTTAGATTCGTTCAGCAACTTGTAAGTGGAACATTCTTTGAGGGAAAGCGAAGTTTGAGAAAATGGCGGTTAAGTGGAAAATTATTTTTAGCACGCTTATCATAAGGTCCTCCTGAAAGTCAGAAAATATTATTTTTTCCTAGAAAAAGAAATTGTCCTATACAGAGTGATATTACGGCCCCAACTGAGCAGTTTATAAAGAGCAATAGTCTGTAACTTTCGAACTTTAAAAAAAATCGCGGCCACTTAACCTTACCAATTTGGCTGAAATTTGGCATGAAGGCTAATTTTAGGGTCCTAACCACGAAATGGGTATTAAAAAGTTCCAGTTGTTTTTTCTTGGCAAAAAATCGATAAAGCCGACCAAGTCCGCCCGTATTTGCCCGCTAACATGGCATGACTCCAGTCCTGTCGTAAAGATTTCTTTTTTTGTAAATAAAAAGGTCTACCCTTTTTCATAAGATTTATGGGAAAAAACGTGGGAAATGACAGATTTTGATTACAGGTTATGTCAACGTTCGAAGGTCGTTTTGCGCCGCCTTGAACAGTAAAATATTTACCCAACTTGTTTGTCTGATATCTCCAATGTTAACTCGATCCAGAAGTTGCCATTTATTTGAAATAATATTTGTTTATGGATGAATTGATCCCATTAATAAAAAATGAGGGAAATTTAAAGGTCAAAGGAGAAAAGTTATTAATCTATGATGACTTGGCTATGTTTGGGACCAGCTCCTAAATCAGCTTCCCAGTCAGAAATAAAGTCCAAGTACTTATTTCGTCCATAATGAAAGCAAATTCCAGAAGTTTCCTAATATCTGTTGATTTTGGGCAAAGGTAAATATGTCTGGGCGACATTGTCGCAATGGGATAAATATTTGGTCACCCAATAAATATAAACAATCGATCCAGTATTAACGCTGGGAAGGGTTGATTTCGCTTACCGTTTTGAGAACGAAAATTTCGAAAAGAAAAGATTCTTGTGAATTCCAACCTAATTATTTGGTGGTGAATGGTGACTTGCTCAAAATCTGAGCCTTTAGGTTACATTTGTAGTTGATCCTCCTGGTCACGCCAACAGTTTAGATATCCTTCGTTAGATGTTACGTAAATTACATCATGTTTTTGAATAGGTCTTAATTTGGTTTTTCGTATGTTTCAATTGTCATATCAGTATAAAGGAAACCCAACCTTTCAGGATACTTCCATGCAAATTTTTTTTAATTAACGGTGAGCGCAAAATGCACACATAAAGCGCCCTCATTAAGGGCTCAGACATAAATTGAGTGTTGTTTGAAGTAAACGTCACCTCGTTGGAATGCGCGCGTCATCGCTAATTAAGTTTGCTCTAAGATCTATTTTGCTTCAAGAGGCTGTTCGTGAAGGATTTTTTTAAAAACTTCTTTCGATGGCTTTAAACAAGCTTTACACCGAATCTATATGAAAAACGAAACTATGAATTCGAATTGAATCCTTGTTCATCACTGAACTGTCGGTTGTAGCGAAAACGGAAGTTAAGACCCAAGTCCTAAGAAACCATATTTCATTTATTTTTTGATGGCAATGAGAGGTACGGAAGCCGAAAAGGGACAATCCAAAAGTATTTTGCAAATCCGAAAAAATATTCACAATCGATATCTTTTAGACAAATCGCTTTTGAAAAGCTTGTCAAATCGACAAAACAAATTCAAATCCGTGACTTTCTACTTATTTACCGAGCTCTAAAAACTCTAGACCTTGCAGACCATTACTTCTTTAACCCTCTAGAAAGACTTGACATTTCCGGTTCAAATTCCCAACCCAAACCACGTAAGGTTCAAATTTCCCATTCCCCTGGCACGGACGAAAGTAAAATACCCGTGACTTCCCCGAGTTTTCCTTTTTTTAAAAAAAAATGAACTTGGGTAGGGCATATGAACATAATTCTGGCCCCTGAGGTTGGAATTTGAAGAACTAATTTTCAAGAGTTCAATTTCCACGGGGGAGGGAAGTTGAAGTTTCGAATTGATCGATGCATGAGCATGAAATCTGTCTCGGTACCTACTCTAGCCCACAGTAACTGAATTTCACTTCTCAAAGACGCATCAACAACGTGTAAGCCCCATAAATGAGGCTTTATGTCTCGAGTACATCGTGAAAGGGATATGCACTCACTCGACTGCATGGTATGTCCGAAACTATCCTCAGCAAACCACGAGAAACCGCTCTTGACTAACATTATTCTGGAGCATTCTCTTCATGCAAAGAACTGGAAAGTAAACTGAAGTAAAAAGGGACGTTAATCACTGACATAATAAGTTTGGCTTTCTGTCAAAAGCGAGAACTTTTCCAATATTTTACCTCATTGAAACCAACATCTCAGTGTTCGCTACAAAATCAAAACAAATTTCAATTTTTGTACTTGTTGTGGGCAAAATTGTCAAAGAAGTATGAAGGAGAGTAAAATGATAAAAAACCACTAACCTTATCTAAACAGGATCCTCAAGTAAAGCAATAAATTTCCACTTTTAGACTCAAGAATAAACTTGATGCTTGTGCATTCTCACGAGTTCAAGTTGATGTCTATCTCAAACCACATTCCGTTTCGTGTGTGTGGCCATTGCCAGAGTTATTACGTTGGTATTTAAGGCTTACTTTTGATATAAATGAAAATTACTCCAATGGACTTATCAAAGGTTGGGGTTTTTCTTATGCTGCGAACTTGAGGAAATGATACGCTGACTCCTGTTGGAAAACATGATAAATTTGCATATCCTCCACGAAACCGGTTGTGCGACATGTAAGTACTGTATCATTAATCTTAAGTTTGCGGCGATTTAATTCAAATAAATGACCAACTGCTACCACCATAGTGTATAACAATTGACAAGAATGTTTCTTTCACAAAATCCTTCGTTCTCAAAACGGTAAGCGAATTAAACTCTGAGCATAACTGCGCGTGGCTTGTCTAAATTCAATTAGTTACTAAAATCATACCATTGCAACAATTTCGCTCGAACATCATCACGTTTATGTTAAATCAAAAGATATTTCCATACTTTTAGGAAACTTTCCGGACGATAAATGTACTTTAACCGTTTTCTTCTTATCGTAAATTGATTTAAGAGCTTTTAGGACCAGGTCCCAAACATAGCCAGGTCAGTACGGGTTGATAATTTTTTTCCTGGACCGTTTCATTTCCCTCATTTTTTTGTTTATGAAATCTGCTCATCTATGAACAAACGTTGTTCAGAGTAAACGGTAACCCCTGGATCGAGATAACACTGGAGGTATTCGGTTACTAAGTTGGGGTCAATTTTTCCAGTCACTGTTGAAGGCGGCCTAAAGTGACCTTAGAACGTTGGGATCATATATTGTTAAACCAAACATTTGCCATGTTTTTTTAAATAAATGTTAAGGGAAAGGTAAGATCGTTTCACGGATATCACGAGATTTTGAAAAATCTTTACGATAGGACTCGAGCTGAATTAAAAAAAATCACCTTCGATCTGCCATATTGGCGGGCAAGTATGGGCAGACCAAGTGCACTTTCCCGTTTTTTTGGCAAGCAAAAATAACTGGAACTTTTTAATATCCATTTCGTGATTAGGATCATAAATTAAGACTTCATGCCAAATTTCAGCCAAATCGAAGGAATGAAGTGGCCGACGAAAGTTCGAAAGTTACAGACTAACGCACCTAAATTTGCATAAGAATAGATTTTCCTCTCGATTTGCAGATTCATAACAGACTATTCATTTATGGTAAGATGTTCTCAAATTCTTGCTGTGATCATAACAAAATCTGGGGTGGGGGTTCCATCTACGCCTCCCATCTCGTTCCTGAGGGTGAAATTGCAAACAATGACTGCTACCAGCTTTTCAGCTGTATATTGACTATTCGACTGCTCAACTTACAATCACTGGAGGAGGACTAAGCCAACAATTACATAAAAAGATTTCTTGTACCCAGAAGTTAAAAGTATCACATGCACCATTCGCCTTCACAATTTGCGGAATCTGGGGTCTAATTTGTATTAGCCAAACTTACAATCATGAAATTCACGAAATTACCTTGCTCTGAGTATGATCCGTTGCCGCAGTAACGCAGGTCACACTGGGGTGTTTTCTTAAGCTTGTAAACATAAAACCCTCCACAATTTCGGACAAGGACATCTGTAGACAATGTACAGCAGTTCCCGCTTGGTGCATGAAAACACACCTTCCTTTCAACAGCCCCATCCCCCACCAAGGGGTGTGTTCCGTTGAGCCATCCCGGCGCAATCGTACCACAGTGTCTTAAGTCCACACAAGACTCTGGCATTTGTTGTCCAGCCTCTCCTCCAAATCTGTACCAGCCAGTGGGTAAAGCTCTGTCACACAGGGATCTTTTTCCTCTGTAAAACGTTTGTGCCCTGTTTGACTCATTGAGAAAACTGTAATTGGAACATTCTGCAAGATTGAACACATTTCGACCGGGTGTCGCAATATCAAAACCAAAGTCATCACACCAGCCAATCAGATAAAGGGAAAACATCACAAAGAGCCAGTGAGAATGCAAATTAAAAACAAGCACACTGTCTAAAGCGCTGAAAATGCGAGTGTCCAAGTCTTCTTTGGTTTCATTTTTATTTAATCAACTTATCACAGCGTAAGAAAGCAAACCCAAATCAATTTCGGATTACTTCCGATTCTCATTTGAAAATTGCACTATTTGAAGATAGAAGTATTCTCGTTCGGCTTTCGAGCATCGCTTGTCCTCTGAGGACGCATTTGAATGCACTCTCTGATATTTGCTTTTAGAAGAGGGTGGCAAAGGGGGGGTTCCAATCACACATCACGCTGAATTTTTCTATCAAATCACGCATCACGGATAATTTTTTAACCAATCACGCATCACGTAATAAGGAGTAAGTACGCTAAGCTAGTACTGTAAGATTTCAACCTATCGGATGTATTATTGAAAATTATATTGTATCCAACGATTTTATCCTGGAATGAATTGCGTTTCACTTGTCATATTGCTTTTTGTTAGACAAATAAAGACGACTTACTTGTTGAAACTAGACGCTGCGAGAGCGTTTACTCGGGCTTCGTATCGCAATATCAGATCGTACTTTACAAGTATAGAACACAAAAAAACAAATCAAAGATCAGGATTTTTAACACAAGAGTTAAGCTTACGTATTTACTATTCAAGTTGCCTCTTTGAATATCCTCCTCATCCAATAGCTTGTTATTTGCCTCACCTTCGTGCTTCGTCAAAGATGAATGAGAATCACGTGATTTAGAAAATTGATTGACATTTAAGCTTTTGTACTTTAGATCACACTTCAGTCAGCAAATCAATTCCAAAGGGAAAGGTCTAGTTTAATTTGCTAACCTGAAACAAGCCGTTAAGCTAACCTAGCTGAATCAGGCTAACCTGTAGCCAACAGCCCGCCACAGAATTCATCGGCAATACTTTTAACGCGGAACTTTTCATTCAATTTCTACGAGCCGCCAAAAAAGGCGTTGGTTCATGCAGTGGAAAACCATAGACCTCCAGATGAAGAAAGACAATTTTTGGCTAAGTTCCATGAATATATGAAAGTTTAGTGGAAAAACACGACGAGTATACAAAGTTTATAGTGAACGATAAAGAATACCAAACGGAAGAGCAGTAGCTGGACGAATGCCAGGAAATCTTTATGAGAATAGAATTAGACGCGAAAATGTTTATTGGTAGTGCAGAGCAATCAAATTCGGAGGATGCAGACGAGAATGGGGCTTCAACTAGTGGAAAAGAGGAGGTTTCGAGCATTGGGGTGCATGGAAATGATGGAATTTCAAATACGCAATCGGTAAACCAAGCCCTTCCTGTGGTCAACGCCGTTGACTCTGCAATAAGTGCTAACTCCGCAAGTGGTCTAGTAGATGTAATTAACAGTGCCCAGACTGCTAATGACGTGCAAAATCTGGCATTAAACAATATTGAATCAGTAGTTCAAACCACCGGAACACCATTTGTTGTCAATACAGCGAAGTCCGATTACGCTGCCTGTACTTTCAAGCTCGAAAAACCAAAGCTGCCTATTTTTTCCGGGAATGTACGAGATTATGCGATCTTCCGTTCCGACATCAAACACATGATTGAGGCCAATTATTAACCTAGAGATGCAGTCACGCTGCTTCGCACGTGTTTAAGAGATAAGCCATTCGAGCTCATAAAAGGAATTGGAACCGATTACGTTGCCGCCTGGGAGTACTTAGACTCCATTTATGGGGATCCGTGATTCGTGTCAGACACTATCACACAAGATATTGTCCAATCTAAAGCACTACATGTGGGGTAAGATGCGCGGTTTTGCGACCTGGTACATCTCGTGAAGCGATGTTACAACGCATTAAAGGAAGTTGACCTGCCAAGTGATATGGATAATAGCCATATGTTGTCCATCATGGAGCAGAAGATGTGTGCCGACGATCGAAAAGTCTGGGCCGTAGATCTTCAGAAGGAAAAGAAACCCGCTACACTACATGCGTTGATGATCTGGATCACTGATCCCCGATCAGAGTTGGTATACACAACCAGCGTACTATCAGCCACTTAAGAGCTTATGGCGATGACAATGATCAGCTACCCTGGTACAAATGCTGGTTGTGCAAAACCTCAACACACTGGTCCGACCAGTGTCAGAAATTTGCAGCCCTCAGCATCGATGGACGTATCAAGATCGCCAAAGCTAACCACGTGTGTTTCAGCTGTCTGAAAAGGGCTAGAAGGGACCACAGAATGGATAATTGTAGCCGAATCCGACGGTGTACAAAAATAGAGAACAGAACGCAGTGTCCACACAACCATCACCAGCTACTTCACAGGACCAGTGCTATCAAGATTGGTGTCGCTATGGCAATCAATACAAAGGAAGCTATCTTATCAGTCCTCTCTGCGAATATCATCAGCGCAAACAGTCTCTTCAAACTTGGAAATGTCCTACTAGATTCAGGCGCGCAGATGGAAACTACGGAGACTCTTGGTCTAAACAGGAAGGATACATCTGTAACCATCACTAAAGTTGGTGGAGAGGAAGAAACGATAAAGACGAAAGAGTACAAAGTTCAGCTAGCTTCAATCGATAACGATAAGAGATTCACAGTAAAGGCAATCAGAATTCCTACCATCACAACGAGATCACCGCAGTCAAGACTTCACACATATCGGACCTTGTTGGTCCACAGAATACGAAATTTCGCCGTGACAAAAGACAGGTCGACCTTCTTATCGGTATTGATCACGCACATTTCCATGCCGGTGAAACGAGACAAGTTGATCATCTGCTAGCCCGTAGTTTCCCACTCGGATGGGTAGTGTTTGGAGGAAAGCCAGAAGAAACTTCTGATGTGACCCGTATATTACACGTAAAGTTTGCCTTACCAGTAGATTTGTCTAGCTTCTGGGAGACGGAAGCTTTGAGAGTGGAGGTGAAACCTTGTATCTGCCATGCGGACAAGTTGACGGAAAGCGAACAAGAGGAATCTGAACTGATAGAAAAGTCATGCATGAAGGTCAACAATTAGAGGATGATCCCATACCCATAGAGAAAGGATCCCAATCTGCTACCGGATAACAAAGCGTTGGTAATGAAGCGGCTAGAATCACCATAGCGGCGACTTAAGAAGAATCCTGAACAAGGGGGAGCCTACTGTAACCAAATGGAGGAAATGGAAAATTTTATTTTATTTCATTAGCTTCGCCAATTTAATATTAAATATATATATATACAAAAAAAATGTAAATGGTATACAATACAAGCAGGGACTCCGCAACAGCTTACTGCGGGCCCGGAACACATAAAATTGAAATAAAAATTGCAATAAAAATTAATGAGTAGTTAATAGCAACAATCTATGTTTCTTGTTAGATTACGGGCTTTGAAAAGATGAACTTCTCACCAAAACTGTCGAAGAAAGAAGAGGAGGCGTATCAAGGCCCTGTCCACTCCATTCCACACTACGCAGTGCTAAGGCCAGACAAAGAGAGCATACCAGTCCGAATCGTTTTTAATTCGTCCTCTGTGTATCAAGGACATACACTTAATGATTATTGGAAGAAAGGCCCTGATCTCCTAAACGGCATGTTTGGAGTTGTTTTGAGATTCCGAGAGAAAGAAATTGCGGTAATGGGAGACATCTCCAAAATGTACCACAGGATACTAATCCCCGAGAGAGATCAGCATGTCCACCGGTCTTTGTGGAGAAACCTGGAAACCAACAGAGCTCCCGACGTGTATATCAAAACAGTTCTCACTGTTGGGGACAAGCCTGCACCCGCCATGGCGCAAATAGTATTTCGAAAAACTGCTCAAGGCAACAAGGCGTATTACGCAGAAGCAGCTGAAGTACTTACAAACAATACTTACATGGATGACATCTGCGACTCAGTGGACACTCTTCAAGAAGCTCGGAAATTAACGGAAGACATAGACAAGGTCTTGAAGACTGGAGGGTTTACCGTCAAGGGTTGGATCTCCAACAAGAAACTTACAGAGAAAGATAACAGTGAGATAGAGAAAGGAATTAACGTATTTCAAGGAGGAGAGGAGGAGGTCGTGGGAACCCCGTGGAATTTCAAGAAAGATAAGTTCCACATCAGGGTAAAGGTAGATCTCCTGAGGCTAGTAGATAGACCGAGTCATGTACCAGTAAAGATGACGAAGAGGATGATCCTAAGTCAAGGTGCTCGGATCTACGATCCTATTGGTTTCGCTGCCGCGTTTATAATCAGAGCGAAAATCGGTATGCAACTACTGCTGTGGCAACTGGGACTGGATTCTCTGTTTCAAGAGATGAAAGAGCTGGACAACGTGTCCTTCGGGAGAAGTTTATCCGCCGACAATGCCGTGGATCCACCAATGTTGTGTGTCTTCGCAGACGCGTCGCAAGATGCATTTGGAGCGTGTGCTTATATACGTTTTTACGTCATAGAAAGGATGACGACGCCTTTACAATAAAATTCATAGCATTAACTCGCAAATTTCCTCGTTAAGTTTGTCAAGAGTAGCAGCTTTTTGAAGGAGCTCACCATCTCACGCTTAAAACTACAGGCAGCCGTCCTAGCAGGTCGCCTGGCAAACGTCATTCAAAAGGAGTCTAGGGTGCAGTTTGGAGATGTAAAGTTCTTCACCGACATCACAATCACCTTGGCCTGGACCCAAAGCCCGTCTCGCAATTTCAAGCCGTTCGTGTCTTCAAGGGTTGGGGAAATTTAGAGTAACTCAGATCCAAGTCAGTGGATGTATATCCCAAGTGAAGACAACGTGGCCGACGACCTATCGCAAGGGATCCATGTGAATGCAGAGCGTGAAATTGCGCCTAACACAGGCGCCAATGCGCCTAAATTTTTCACTTTGGCGACCAAATCCTGAAAGTTAGTCGCCAAATTGGCCACTAGAACGTTTCATCATAACCTTACCAAGAGATATAGCGAATTAAAAAGATTTGCAAAGATAAATCCGCGGCAAATTTCCTCGTTAAGTTTGTTTCCAAAACGTAGCACATGCATCTCGATAACTAGACGCCATCTTGGATTTAGATGAGCCTGAACGTTGTATATCATCCATCCTAGTGTCCACTTTGTAGCAACCACAACAGCAAAGACAAGCAGGAAGTACTGGATCCTCAAGGCGAACAAGCTGACTGGGCTAGTATGTGAAGTCCAAGTGTGTATGTTGTCGAAAAATAGCACACAAGGCAGAGACGCAACGGATGGCAGATCTCCCTTTACTTCGCCTATCACCGCATACCCCACTGTTCTACAACACTGCTCGTGACTACTTTGGTCCTTACAATGTCAAGATAGGGCGAAACAAGAACACCGAACACCACGGAGTTATTTTAACCTGTTTAAACACCAGAGCTGTTCACCTAGAGCTGGCGGTGGACTGCTTCACAATGGATTTTATGCAGGTACTTCACAGATTCTTCTCTACCAGAGGCTACCTAGCGGTGATGATGAGCGATAACGGGTTGCAGATGGTTAGTACAGCTAAAGAACTGCGTGAAATGATCGATAATTTAGATTTTAATCAGCTCCGTGAGTTCTGCGCAGAGAAAAGAATTCAGTGGGTATTTACAACCCGGCCCAGCTGCTCCGCACCAGAATAGATGCGCTGAAGTGCTTATCAAGAGCGTCAAGATAGCACTGAAGAAATCGATCGGTGAGTTAATCCTGACACCGTTCGAATTGTACGCCTGCCTGTTTGAGGTCGGAAACCTAGTAAGCCAGCATCCCATTGGTCGCATTCCTAATGATCCAGGTGATGGTGCCTATTTATGTCCCAAAGATTTACTGCTAGGACGCGCGACATCGGAAGTACCTCAAGGTCCTTTCAACGACACAAAGAATCCACGACGACGACTAGAGTTTGTACAGAGGATAGTCGACTCTTCCTGGAAGCGTTGGAGGAGAGATATATTTCCCTCGCTAGCACCGAGGAAAAAGTGGCACGTAGAAAAGCGCAATGTGCAGGTAGACAATGTCGTAACCTTGGCCGATAGCAACACTGTCCGGGTCAAATTGGCTGTCGGCCGAATAATCAACGTGTACCCCGGGTCGGATGGACGAGTGCACAACATCAGAGTGAAGACAGCCACAGGAGAATATAACCATCCAGTTACCAAGATCGCTGTCATCCACCCTGCAGAGGGTTACGATCCATGAAGATAAGAACTACGCCCTTATCGGGGCGGAGAATGTTTCGTTAAAGATGAATGAGAATTACGTGACTTTGAACACTGATTGACATTTAAGCTTTTGTACTTTAGATCACATTTAAGTCTGTAAATCAATTTCAAAAGGAAAGTTCTAGTTTAATTTGCTAACCCGAAATAAGCCTTTAAGCTAACCTGACTCAGGCTAACCTGTAGCCAAAGGCCCGCCACAGAATTCATTGGCAGTACTTTCTACGAGGAACACTTCGAAGTTCTGTTCACGAAGATTTTTTTGTCTTCTTTAATTCAACATCTGAGGTGTTCATCTGGGCATCATAGTTGTCATAGTTTGTTGTTTAATACGTCAGTAGTCATAATTTTGACAATGGTTTCGTAGTTTGAACTCATATATGACCCATTAGTTATCTTGCGAGAACCGGTACGAACTTTGCTAATGTAGCCGTACCCTCCCCATCTAGGTTTCCGTTTTACCATGGGGGGAAAGGTACGGGCACACATAGGCTATATTGCAAAATTAGCCACCTTTCAATTTGCGGCTACTCGTGGCCCCAAGAGTCTCGTGTACGAATTGAGTAGACGTCTACACCACCTTTACTATTTTTTGATACACGGGGCAATATTTATGTCAAAGCTTTGCCCAACCACTTCTGCTTGGCAACTGTCTTCATGTCGGTAACAGATATAACGTGGCTTTTGAATTGGTTTAGGTCTTTGAGACGACCTTGGAACTCGTACTAACTGGTACACAAAATCTCTCCTTATGTACTGGCTCTCTGATTACATTACCATCCTCTCCGGCGGCATAAAATGACACCAAAACTCTGATGTCATTAACCGTTTCAGCCGTTTGTGTCGATTTGGTCGACACTTTTTCAGATCTTTCCTTCGATGGATTTAGATACTTTCTGGTCTTTCTGGATACGATCTGGCACACCACCACAGCCAGGCGGTCGACAAAAAGAAAACACTGAAGATCATAGTCCTTATGCAAATGTTAACTATAGTAACTTATGCATACTGTGTCACGATTGTTTGGACCTACCACGAAGATTAAAGACATCAAAGGTCAAGCGAAAGTTAAGCAAAGGACAGAAAAGACCAGGAAACATTGTCACTGCTGCCACGGTTTATTGACCTTTGTTAAGACTCTATTTACTTTGAATGATTGGTTTCCTCACGCATCAAGTTGTTATGTCCGGTCCCGCGTCACGCGGATAATTACTGGGATATCTGTGGTAGCCCAGTCATAAAATGCCTTTGTTTTTTTGTCTTTTTTTTTTCCTCCGCCACAAAATGGAAAAATTGCGCAACAGCCTCGGGCAGCATTTTCAAGACCTCGGTCACAGTTTTTCGCCATACGGACCTCCCAGCCGGCAAATAACATACATATATCAGACGTAAAAACTCTTCAGATTCTCAGTCTGCATTTTATACCCACTCTGCAGTCTGCAGTCTGCAGTCTGCAGTCTATATTTTGTATCCGGTCTGCAGTCTGCTCTCTGCATTTCGTACTAACAGGTATCCGTGGCACCAATACAGTTTATTTTTGGTTACATTTATTCACACAACACACAATCTACCACAAAATACCTGTGTGTGAGGTAATTCGACATTTTCGTTCTTTTCCGCGTTAATACTCTTCTTTCCTTTAGTAAGAATGTAGACCACTTACAATGTTTCAAGTAATCCACCCACCCTACAAAAAATAACTCTTGCATGCATAGCATGCCTATGTTTTGAAATAGGTGTATGCCCTTGGCCAGACTTGAGCTCACTATTTCAGTATACTAGTCCGACACCCGTATTATCGCTACAATTGATTCCAAGGATCCAGTACCATCCAGGTATCCCAGTTACCCTGCTCACAGGGTCTAGTTTGAGTTCAATCACGCGTCACCCTGCAAATTTTGGGGCCATCGCGCGTCACGCAAAATTAAAACCCCTTGCCATCCTCTAAGAAGTGTTATAAGAGCGATTGACGGAGGGCTAACTCTCGAAACGTCAGCCTTTATACTCTTTAAAGTGGCCAATTTACGTTTTTAACTCAGTTAATGACACTAAATTACCCTGTTAATGGCTTATTATATGCGCTTGAAGAGACTAACAATTGAGCAATCAGCAAGATTATTTTAGCTCCGTAATAACGGAACGGTCTTAAATTTGGGCGCGGCAGGTGTCGAAAACGCACCAGCAAACGTTTCCTTTTAAATCACCTCTTATTCTAGAAAACCCAAATCTCCGCAATTACATCTGCAGGTCAACCAACGAGATGAACATACAAGACGACCTTTTTCCTTGGCAAAACAAAGATCATAATCACCACTTCGCGTCTTTCCGGTCTCTTAGTGAAACGCACCAAACGAAATGATTGTCTACCATTTCCGACAGTAGGCTAAAAGGTTTACGTATCATAAAACGTGTAAAAACTGGTATGACTATCCCGGAGATTGTGAAAACTGATCAAAATAATTTAGAAAGGCCCTTAGATAGTAATGCAACACTGAGTAACTCTCGCCGCTCCAGTCATCCAACATACGTGCTTTACTCCCATACCGGAAAGCCGAATCCATATGAAAGTAGCAAAGAGTATAACATTAACCCAGTCGAAACTCAGAGTATTTATCTTACCATCCTTCCCGTGTACTTGTGCGCCAAGACAGAGAAAAAGACCACCAATGATCAAGGTTCGTAAATCTGTTGCCATCTTGCAAAGTTACTCCTTCAGACGGCGTCGTAAACTCAGTCGATCATTCACTTGATTGCGAAATCGAAAGCAAAGTTAATATTTGACAGTCCAAATCATGTCTAAATAGGGCTTTGACAGTTTCTTTTGTCATCGGTTGCATATTCAAATACATCAAATCATTTACATATGTCAAAGTCCTAGATTAAAGGCTTTTGGTTTCCTTCTACAACAATTTCGTTCCGGAACTGACGTACGCAGCTGCTGGCTGTTTTGATTGATAGCAATAAACAGTACAGATTAACAACGGCAATGTGATCGATTTTAAAATTAGTACCTGAATCAAATTAGTCCCAGAAGTAACCGGAGTCGCTAGAATTTAAAACTAGCTTAAAAGTTTCACTTCCTTTTGTTTAATTTGTGGTAACATTTGGTTCACTAATCATTGATTGTTTAGCGCGTGAGGACACGTGCAACCTATTATTTTCCGTATGCACATTTCGGAGGTCGTTGCAGATTATTTCCACTAAATGGCTTCAATCCAGACGTATACTGGAGCGCGAGCTGAAAACAATAGTAAAGTAGAAGCTGATGAAGGTGTGGACAACAAATCGAGAGTGGAAAGGCCAGAAAATGATGTGTGCTACCTCCGTGGGCAATGCACACTCTTCTTATCATTTCTTTTTTTTAAAGAACCTTTTTTAAGAGAACGTTCAGGCCCAGATTAACCAAAAATTTTTAAGAACAAACCCTGCTGTGAGTCAGTTAAGAGCGTCTTTAGTTTATTTCGCTCATTTGTTTTTTTGAGAAGTATAAATAATAGAAGAAATGTTAAACTGTAGTCTAATAGTTTAAACTTAAATTCTTAGGGACATTTTCTATAGTTAACAATGCAGTTTCCGTTATCGCACGATGTACTGAAGACCAACTCAGTTTCTATTCGAAGTTTAATCTAATGTAATACTATACCGCACCACACTTTAGAAGCTTATTAAGAACGTTTTTAGGTGCAAATAGCAAAAGAAAAAAGAAAAGATAAGTAAATAAAATAAGAAAGTTCAGCCTCAGCCCCAAAAGTACACGTTCTTATCAAACAAAAAATAAAATGTAGTGATATTGGACGACAACTTGAAGGAGTGCCTATTGCACCGAAATGCCTCAAACGGAAAACAAATTGGAAGATACTGTCTTTACATCTCTACAATTCCTTAAAATAAAAATGTCTTGTTAAGTACCTGTATTAGAATCTTCTCACTTTTTTCATCATTTTCAATACTCCGCTGTAACACAGAGTAGAGCAAATTTGTTACTGTTTAAGGTTTTAACTCCCTCAAAAGATCGCCTGATCGTCCATGTAAAATCGGCAAGACTGATCAATATTAACCGACATACGGAATTATGCGATTTGTTCTGATGTGAGCTATCTAAAGGGAAGGAATAGCTATGACTTAACTTGTGGATAAGAAGTACTAAACAGAAAAAAAGGTGATCGCACTAGCCTCACTCCATAAATTTTTATCATAAAGGTAAACCGGTCTCAGCTCTTCACTCGCCTTCTTGCATCAGCTGACTCAATTGACTCAAAATTTTGATGCATGTGCTGCACGTGTTTAACGTTATAAAGGCTACTAACACATTGTCGGAAAAAAACCTTGGTTGTCGCTTTGTTGAACAAGTCGTGACGCAAAAGCGCGCTTTTTTTTTGACGAATTTTGTTCAAAGCATTGATCCACTTGGAGTATGATATTTGTCTTCTTCTAGATGCTCAAAGCACATCCCATTCTTATTCAATTTCACATTTCACGGAAATTTTTGCCAGCCCGCCGTTGATCATCAAGCCTGACTGCTAGCATGCTCAAAGGTGCATTTAAATGTTTCTGTAACTTGTGATCCTTGTAGTGTGGACGGGAAATAATTTGTTTGTTTTCCAGAGTAGACAAGTTAAGTTGCATTTCAAATTCATCTGACTCGGGGTGGAGGGAGCTTCATTCTCACTACTAGGCTTAAATAGCTGCGCCTGTCTAAAAGACATCACGTGAGTGCCTGTCTAAAAGTCATCACGTGATATACAGTGCAAAATAATAACACTGTGTACTCGAGCACGCAATCCATGCAATCGTATGATATGTCATTGGACACGTGTACTGGTCACAAACAAATACTCGACAATATTAATAAATCAAAATCTTTTTAAAGGGTGCTATAATGTTCTTTAAAAACCAATGTATGTCACAGTAAAATAATTTAATAGCAGCACAACTCAGTCTATCTCTTAATTTCTGTAATCAATGACGATAAAAGTGAGATATGTTAAAATTTACTTGTAAAAGTTCTACTCTAAATTTCCTCCAAAAGCCTTGATGTAACATACTTCTTATCGATTCAAAGCATTCAATTCCTTCTCGTTCAGGTGGTGAGGACAATGCTCATCAGATTTTAGATTTTGTTCAAATACTGGCTGTATTCTTGCGAGGAAATGTGAAAATTCACCCTTTCAAGATTAACACAGTTTCCGTCCTTCACTTTACAATCCCCTTTCCTATCTTGGGAAGGAATAAATACATTTAAATATTCACTAATTTCGAGGCCATATTCGCTCATATTACCAAAACCAATTTGACAAGTCCGTGATTATTACTCAGTTTAAGAATGGAATATACGAGCCTATTCGTGTGTACTTTCCAAGTTTGTAAACTCCCCAAGCGAGGAAAATCCCTACAAAGGCTTTCAATGAAAGGCGTATAAGCCTACTTGCTCTGCTTGCTTCTGGAATTCTGAAAGAAGTGAAACAAACATTTCATTGCGTTTACTATTCCCAAGTTGGATAAGCTTGTGTGCTGCAAACCAGCCCACATTTTGCGCTCTCGAGCCTCTGATCGCTCAAGTTACTCGAGGTTTGAAGGAAACGTACCAACTAAGCTTAACCGAATCATACACACTGCATTCACATTTCCCGTCATACAGGAAGTGATGTAGACGGTGGAGGGAGAAGAAAAGGTTATAGTCTGAGAAGCCACAACTGAGTGAGAATGACACTAGACACAAAAACTCCACTCTACTTTATACTTTGGTTTTATCAACTGAGTTAATAAGTAAATGTAAACTGGCCACTATTAAGAGTTTCTAAATATCATTTGAATCATTTATTACATGGAAGGATTAAACCTCGGGTATCACTAGTGCTAGTTGAACCCTCTTAAAACTCCAATAAAACTGCACCCGGTGTGAGGGACATTGCAGACCGGGAATGTTACATACGCTTATCGGACATGCTTTGAAAACGAAACGATGTTCTAACCAAAGAAATTAAAACCAAAAGCTTACCTTAATAGTTCTTTCACGTCAATGTCCTTTTCCCAATTATCAGTAATTCCATCCACGTGTCCTATTCCGACCACACCCACCACAACACTGGGGACGACTCCTTGAGGCTCTGCAACAGCACAAGAAAGTAATGAGTCGAGTTTTTGGAACAAAGAACAACAAAAAAAGGAAACACGTAGTACTGACATGGGTCTTCATTAAGGGAAGCACATGCTGGTACATGTAAGTATTTCTCAAGTGGAAACACAGAGCAGAGGAACCCTGTAATCCGCAGGACCTTGTTTTTTAGCCGAGGCACATGAACATATCCTGGACAGGCAAAGATCTCTACCTTCACTTTGAATGTCTCGAGATGCAATGTTTGAGCATCATGAGTTTGGCATTTGCAGTCATTTTAAATTTTATACATTCCTAACCATCAAAGTTCCCTATCGATTTCTGATGTTTTTTTTTCTCCCACGTTTTTAGAACCTACTGAGTTGATATATTGTGGTACCTCTCAAGTAAAAATTAGGTTTTGCACCCACTCAAACTACGGCAACTTTTCCGAGCTGGATTCACACGGTGAAATTTTCGCGTACAATCATAAAATCGCGGGGGACAAGCTTACAACAAAAGGTAATAGCACATAATAAATTTGTCCCTATGTTATGTTGTAACTTGTACAAAAATGATTTGTATGAGGGATGGCTAAATGATGAAAGTTATGTTTAATTTGTCATATCCAGAATGCTGCATGATCAACCAGAGGTGCGAGTGGAGATCAGAAGCAGATCAAAATAATTAAATATGAAACAAGCTGAAGTATAAAAAACCACAAAACGGAAAAATTTAAGCAATCTCATAATTTCACAGTGATGATATACAGCTAATAAACTCGTCAGTTACCTCCATCGGCATTGTGGATTTCAATGGGCATAGCGGATAATCTTAGTGATCTCGCCAGGTATTGATCTCTTTCAGAAACAAAAACTTTATACAACGTGGGAAAATCTCCAGTCATCTCAGCCAACATTTCAGCTAGAAGGTCCTTTTGTTTACATCTCTCTACATCCTCTGCGCTGTAAAGTAAAAAGGCAGAACATTCAACCAAACCCATGCTCAGCAAAAAAAGTTTACAACACGGAGACAATAACAAATATTGTACTCATTGATTTGGTTCTCAGTGTTTATCAATGCTGTCAACATAAGGCCTGACACCTCTAAAATTGTCGCAATGAGAGCAATAGCAGAGAGAGAGTTGCAACCTGTGCCCTCTCTGGACAGGACACTGTATCACTGCAGGTTACCCTTCCCATTCCAACATCCATGATGACACTCAATTGAGATCATATGATGATGATTCCTTTGATGGGTTTAGTTCCTACAGTGGTGAAATTCGTACATGTAGCTGAGCACATGGGATTATGTTAAAAAACAGAAAAGATGCAACCTCCAGAATAAATCATTGCACGATCTGAAATGGGTGAGGAAGAAGAATGTAAATCCAAATCTAGATTTGTTTGATTTACTATCTTTGCTGAAGAGGCAAAGTGAGATTAAAGTCAAAACAAGTTGGCACATTAACCTCAAGACCACTGCATCTCCATCCACATGTGCTCCAGTGTTATTTTAAAAAGGCTTAGTTAATTTTCTGTGGATAGATTTTGCACAGAACTCATAGGATCAGGATCAAGATCCTGCAGAATCTTACAAAAAGCTACCCTGATAGGGTAGGCCTTACTGAGGTATATCAAAATAAGGTCACAATCAGCCTCTTATCTAACACAGTCCATATCTAATATTTAAGATCTACATACACAAGTGAACAGCACATACCTAATGGGATCTTTAGTCATCATAAGATGCCAGGCTAATTTCATTTTTTGCCATATACTCAATGCAGCCATTGCCCTAGAAAGTGTCACCTGAAGAGACAGATGGGTACCATTAATATGGCACTTTCAAAGTGCGCTATCAACATTAATATGGTCTAATCATACTCTAAGTGCAATTATAATAATAATGATAATAACAATAATAATAATAATGTTGTAATACAATACACTACATTGTACACTAACATTAACCTTGTCACCCTTCTCCACAACAACAGCAGATAAGGAAACCCACTGATAAAGAAAAACCCTTTGTTTAGTAAATTTACAATTTCTTCAAGATCTGTGAAGCTTCGGGCAAGGAAAGAGAGACTGAAAAAAATTAAGGCTTGACAAAGCATGTACAAGAAAACGAGAAAAGTAAATGTATGCTGTACCTGAATGGGACGATCTCCTAAATGAATTTGACATTCTGGTATCTTCCTAGCCTGCAAAATAAAATAAGATACAATATAACTCTTTCAGACCACAATTACAAGCACAATATTCCATTCACTCCAGTCATGTAAAAGATTTTTATCTCACCTCTCTGTAAGCTTCTCTAAACTCTCCACCTGGGGCCATTCCAAGCTGCTTGGTTATGTGTGCTGACACACTAAGTAAGAGAACTTGCATCACACCAGCTATTACCCCACTCTACCAGCAAAAGAAATCCAAGTTATGAAGAGATCATGTGCACAATTCCTCAATTGAAAAAGTTAACCATATCTTTATGTACAAAGCAACTAAAAAATATCAAAGTGCAGAATATAAAGACATTTGTCCCTCAGATTAGAATCTTGCTATGACCTAGCCAAAATCCTGGCTCTGAGACTGAGAAAACAGAGAAAATCTTCACCATGATTAGCTAACCACACATGCCCTTCTCTTCTCTTATGTGTAATACATCCATTTTGACATTTCTGGTAATCCTTGCCATCAGACCAAACTGCACTCCACTCAGTTTAATTCCCATTATGAAGATGCAATCGTAGTAAAAGTAAACATATATTTTTATTATCTCTGTGAGAACATATATTTAGCTTTCTAACATCCTAGTTACCTCTTTTCCAGCCCAGCCCTACAATTACACACAAACCTACAACCAGTTACAGCACATCTACATTGTGGTGTGCAGTGGTTTTTGTGATCAATAAAGGCATCACAAATTGTACTTACATGTTTAATAGCAAGTCTCAGCTTTTGCAAGTCAATATTCTTTGCTTCCCTGAGTAGAAATTCTTCATCATATTTAAGAATGTCGACTCGACTTTTGCAAAGTTCAACTAGCACTATGTCAGGCTGGACAGCTTGAATAGTCTGCAACAAAGTAATCATTGTCACATTTTTGGCCATTAAACACTGTTAATTTGAGTTGTGTTATAGTAAAATAATTTTGGTAAGGAAGTGTCAGCAAAACTGTGGATGTGATAATCTGTTTTCAATGGTGGAAGTTTGTTTCAGTCAGTTATAATTTTTACACTGAAGAAATTCAGCAATCTTTCATTTAAACTGGGAATCCACAGTAGTGAGGTGTCACCAGACAAGCTTCTACTAACTCAGTAACTCAACTGCTATGTTCGGAGAGAGGTGTCAATAAAACTGTTGGTGACAGAGGTAAGTCATTTGGTATTTACCTTTGCCACATCATCTTGGCTTTCCTTACTAAAGTGAGCAGTTCCAACAAGATAAACTTTGCAGCCCTCAGGAGTTTCAAGCTTGGTTACTGTATCAGGGAGCTCTGGGCTTGAGCTTCTTCTCAACCTTTGGATGTTCATTAGGAGTTCTTCAGATATACTAACATCCTGGGGGACTTCAGGCTCAGGAGGCATCCCTATCATGAAGAAGAAACCAAAATGAATTTTCAAGAACAAAGTGAAAGAAAAAGTCCTTTAACCTATGCTACAGATTCCTTACAGCAAGTCTGAAATCATGCATTTAAATTTCCCTAAATGAGATTTCAACATTCCTCCTTCTTCACAGTTCAAGATTTGTCAATCCATCTCTGGATTACAAGAACCTCACATAAGTTACATACAGAGTTATTGCATCTCTCATCCTCTTGTGGATAGAAAAGAAAAGCCTTTGTTTCAAAATTACTTTCCCTTCTAGTTCATATATTTAACATATGTATGCTAAATTTGGTTGTTCTAATGGTCCAGCTAGTGAAAGTAGGCTAATCAACACAACGTGCTTCTTCACATTAGAACAAGAGAATATTCACTCCAGTGAAAATAGGAAGTTTGAAGAGCATACTAATGTACAAATGTATTTCCAAGACTTAGTTTAACAGCTTTTTAAATATTTTGTTCACAAATATCAACTGAAATAAAGTATCATAAATTTACTAATAAACAATAATCCTCTATATATTTTTTAAACATATTTCTAATGTTGGATTTATTCATTGATGCTGAAAAGGTATGTTAACAAATAGGTGACTTTTACCCAATAATTTTTTTGTGAAAGGCAAGCAAGATGAAGTCCTTAAAAGAAGGTCACTCTTCAAAGCATTATTAAAAACCGTGGTACAAATCTTTGCATGCTTCAAAATGTTTTGCTTACCACTGTTTCAAAATTTTGGAGGTTTTAAGACAGAACAAAATCAAATCTAAAATGGAAAGATTTGCAACCGCTGAAAAACTTGGATCACACCATGAATTTTAAATGTACCTAGAGGGGTTTCATGTCCTTCGTGTTCCTGAACAATATAAAAAGATGAATTATCTGTTGGTTCTACAAGGGTCAATCCTTCTGGAGTCTCTATCACCATGAGCTGTTCATCCTCAACCTCATCACTGTCACCAAAGCTTTCATCATTTCCTCCTTCCCTTGCATCTTCAAAATTAAGATTGTCACCCTCTTCACTCTCTACCTCTTGGCTACTTTCTGGTTTTTGTTCTGAAATGTTTATTCAAATGAGAAATAATGTTTTTGGAACTATATTTATTTAGTACATAGAATAAGAGAGATGGTAAGTTTTGAGCTTGGTAAAGAAATAGAGAAGGATGTTTTTGGTCTCTCCATGATTGCTCATGACAAGACAATAAACATCTTTCTCTTTAGTAGTACATGTGAAAAAAAATTAGTTAATTCAGGGGTAATGTTTGCAAAACTTTGTTAAAAGGGCAAGCACTTTGAGTCAATGGTTTGTTCATTTGACTCTGAGAGAACCATCTGTGTTCAAAACCAATTTTCTGAGTCATTATATTGCGTTGGCAGGAACCTTTGCTAAAGTGCACCAATACACCCCCCCCCCCCCCCCCCTTCGAGGTGACCCATGGACATTTGACTGTTATCCCTGCTTGAAAGGTAGAGAATTTGAATCTTGCTTGGGTGAGGTGGGGAATTTGAACTGAAAGTGTCAAGTCTTGACAGCATAATACATGTTTTGATTTTTAAGGAGTAGTTTAAAGGTAAAGAGCCTGCTTTCATGAAGGAGTGGCTTAAAAAGAATAGTTTCCCATCATAAAAAGATGCAAAATAACACACCAAAAACTAAAATGTGACTTTACTAAATTCTACAACATTTGTTGATCACATAAAGAATTGTGAATAAAAAATTGTGAATAAAAAATTGTGCTTGAGTGGAGCGTTAGCATAAAATTTTAGCCTGGGGGAGTGGGGGGGGGGAATTTTCATGAGCCAGTCTTCACGAGTTTAAATACCCAGGGGGGTTGCTAAGGGGGATCAACACTTAAAAGTATCTTGCTCCAACTTGGAGTGTAACTAATTATTTAAGCAGGATTTTCAAGGGTACCTGACAATGTGTTGAAGAAGAATAACATGCACCGGACCACCATAAGATCTAGGAACAGTGTGCATCAAATACTAGTACTTTTTTGTTCATTTCACAGAAACCAAATACGTCTCCTATTTTGACTGTTGTTCACCATTTTAAGGCCTTATGAGACTCATATGCCTTGATCAAAACAATCTTTAATTGCAAAATATACATGCATCCATAGCAACCAGGCAACCCCTTGTTATATCCTAGCTAACACTAAAATATTAGCTTACAGTTAATAAGCCTTCAAAACGAGCTGAATTTTAGTTTGGGGGAGTTAGTACATAATTAGTTTAAAAATAAAAATTAAGGTTTTATTTCAAGCGAGCTTATTTTTAGCAAAAGTCTCATTGTTATTGGTATTATCAAACATATTTTGGTAGTTCAAAATTCAGGGAAGCTATGTCGACATCCATCGTGAGCTTACATCGAAAAGATACAAAAGATACAAAGGAAAGTTTTAAAGTAAATCATATCTAGTCCAAATCAATCGTGAAAAAAATTGCAATTCCTTTATATTTCTTAGAATGATGACGACCGAGAGAAATACCTGCCACAGATATAAGTCTAAAATCCTGAAAGTTACCTGAGAGTGGGCTGAAATCCTAAATTACGAAAACTACGTTAATTGAAACATGAAACAACAAAAGAACATTTTGAAATTTTAACTTTTCTGGAATCAACTTGTTTCATTTAGGTAAAAAGTCACTCTAGTTTCTACCGAATCACAATTCACCGCTAAATTTCGAATACGTACCGTCTATTTCACTTGATATTCTTTGATCTCCCTCACCTGTGTCAGCCATTTTTGTTGATGAATCACTAACTAAAAAGACGTCATGTAAGACGATCACCCATTGGTGTTTTATTAAGGAGTCGTGTGCCAAAGCATCTTTTATCCAATCAAAAGCTCTGTTAGTATGAAGATTTCAAGAGTCTCAGCGGTTCGTACCAAGTATGCTTCAACTGAGGAATACCTAATCATTTCATAGAAACGTAGAAAATTCGCCGAAATTAGACACAGGGGTCAATTCATAATTTAATGGGAAACATAGAATCTAGCTCTAAAGTCAACGTGGGTCAACTTCAAGGTTTGAGTCCTCGAGAGCTCAATATAAGTCGATCACTGGCATATGAGGAATATCAACAGGTAACCATAATTGGGAGCGTAAGTTATGAAAATATATAGAAAATCGCCTCGTTTGGTTGGATGATCGGGTTTTTTTAAAGACTGATCTCCTTCTTTCAATAAGTATTGATTCTTAAGTTCTCTATGGTTAAGTTGTGTTTATGTTATGTTGTTTAGTCATTAAATTTAAAGTCTAACGGTATTAATTGTATCAACATACTTGAGAGTCAAAAAGGCATTCAATAGCGTGAAAATTATGGCAGCTTTGAAAGGTCATGCGATTATGGAATAAGCTTCTTTGGTTATTTGTCATTAGCCTACTCAACTGAGCTCTTTGCGGTCACGGTAGAATAACCTCTCCAGCGAAAATTTTCGAGGTGAATTACTTGTGGAGCGCAATATCAAATCGTAAGAAAGTTATTTTGTCTGAGGTATGAAGAAAAAACAAGTACTTCAAAGTTTTTGCAAATTGGTTGACCATTCATTCATGCAAATTTACTCCCTATTTGAATCAACCCTCCGTTTTTTATTTATCGCCGATAGAAATGAAGAAACGATCGCTGAATTTGTGGCTGGAATTTTGTGGAGAAAAAAGGAAAATTCCAAGCCCTGAGCAATATTACCAAGGACTATAGATGAGTACCAGCAAACTCTGGGCATCTGAAAACGTAATTGGTTGCAGATACCTTGAAACTTTCACTCTTTCTATAGGGAAAGTAGCAATTAATGTTCCAGAAACTGGGATTAAAGCTCGATCAGGCAGTGAATAATGGACCTTAGAGCTCATAGCCTTTAACCTAATTTAAGATATTAGGTGAAACTAGTGATGTCTACATTTTAGAGCTTGGAAGTGAAAGGAAAGTATAGATGCTGCATATCAAAGTTATTATAATAACTCTTTATAAATTTTTTGTTTGCTTGTCTTTTCATCCAGCATTTAAAGGAAGATAGTCATGATGCACTGGTTGAATTTCCATTGGAGTTGTTGAGCAGTGTGTCATTCTATGAGAAGTTTGATGCATCATTCAACTGTTTCACCTACATACCATCTGAATTTGCCATCTACTTGCCTCATCTGTCATTTGTTGATTTAAGCCACAATCGCCTCTCTTATTTACCAGATTCCTTTGGCTACCTGTTCCACTTGAAGACATTATTGTTAAATAACAATAGGTTACAAGAACTGCCAGAATCATTTTTTTATCTTGCAAGACTTCAGAAAGTTGATTTGTCACACAATCAGTTGAAATGCTTACCACAAAATCTTGGAAGTATGGAGTCACTTCAAAGTTTAAATGTCAGTTACAATGAACTTGATGCACTACCATTAACATTGGGAAAATCCAAATCTCTCAAACTGATCCTGGCAATCTTCAACAAGTGTAAATGTCCACCACAGAAAATTTGTAATCAAGGCTCTGAATCAGTTTTGGCATATTTACGCAATCAAAATCCAAAAGAACCAGAAGAAAAACTCTTAGGAAAAAGCAATGAATTTCCACGTGTTAGGGGTGATGTTTTCGTCCTTGCACCATCAAACCCTCACACAGCAAGAACACAGTATGTCCAAACACAAACAAATACAAATGCTACAAGCCGCATTAAGACGCCTCTGAGACCACCAGTAAATGCACATTACCTTCCGCCCGATGAACTTGTGGATAAGATTGTTGGTTGTTTGTATGGAGCAGCCATCGGTGATGCTGTGGGATTGTGCACAGAATTTATGATGCCTGATGAGTGCCAGTTTCATTATGATAAGGATTCATTATCCTGGGAGCACATGGTCAAAGACAGACACAGAAGTAAATGGCAGAAAGGAGACTGGACTGACTCATTTGACCAGACTGTGAGTTGTGCTCTTTAGATACAGTTTAAGTTTTAAAATATGCTATGCAAACAGGTACTCCTTGCACATGTGTCCTCTCAAGGTTTTGTATATGATAAAGTAAAATGATGAGTTTGAATCAAAGGAAAGTAGAATATTTCTCTTTTCTTGCATAGAAAAAGGGGATAAGTTTTTTAAAGAAACTGAAGTGCTGCATCAGTGGGGGTAATACAAGACTAAGAATTCAACTCAGTTGATAAAACCAAATTACTCTGAATTAAGTCTGTCAAAAACCTGGGTTTAACCTTTTTGACAGTGAAGAGACATGAAGCCTTGTCACTGGATTTATGTGTTACCTTTGCCCCAAGCCCCCCTCTTCAATGCCACATACATACTAGTTATTTCAACTTGGAAATACACCTGGGCACACAAGTTGTAAAGGTTTAGACGGCTGGTTAGGTCACTTTCAAATATAAATATAGTGTGAGGGCAACTGAAGGTGATGTTTACATGTAAAATGATTAATAGGTAGATGAAAGTGTTGAAAACAAACAGCCATTTGATTTAGTCTTATATACTTGTTATTTTCTTTTGCTATTTCAAATATAAAGGTTTTGATCCTTGAGAACATCCTTCATTGGGCTGGTGTTGTTGATGAACTGGAGTTTGCCAAGAGCCTTCTTACTTGGTGTAAACATGGCTTTCCTGAACTGGGAGATACTGTTGGTAGAGGTGTCAGGGGAGTTATTGCTAAGGTAAGAGATGTATTTGCAATACAGTATGACTAGTAACTCCTTCTTTGCCAAATTAGGGGGTCCCTTTGACAAAGACACATGATCCTCTTTTCTCTTTTGGAGAAAACAGTGAGAGTAATGTCTATCTGGGTGAATTAATTAATCTTATCCTGTAAGATTCCATTAAATTCATTTCGAATCAGTTATCAGCTTTCATAGATCTTTGCTGAGGTCTGTTCAGAAGTCTTGAGATGAGAGGGAAATCAAGAACCTCTTGAATCTTTTATGAACTGATCAACTTATTTACTTAATGTCTGAAAAAAATCCAGTCAAAAATTACTGTACAGGTATGTTTGTATTCTTCCTTTTAGAAACCATTTCCTCTTATCCTGTGACAAAATTCTTAAAGTCCCTTAAGTTGCACTTTATAAAATTTAAAGTTATTGTAGCAGAACAATATTTCCAATGTAAATGAGTATTGCTTTTATCAATAAGGGTAGACTAAAACCCTTATAAAGATACATGTACTTCGCATTTGGTAAAAAAGTTACACCTTATCTGTGAGAAAAACTTAAATGAAACTAGAACATTTGAAAATGATAAAGGTTTTAACAAGATGGACAAATTGTGACATAACACCTTTAAATATCCTTCCAGGTTGTTTGTGAACCACAGTTTATGAGTGATCCCCATGCTGCTGCGAGATCAGTGGCAAACAAGTTTGAATCACCATCTAATGGAGCAGTAATGAGAGTGGCAGCTCTGGGTATTGCTCACTTTCACAACTTAAATGAAGTTGCAACAAATGCAGTCAGAATTTGCAAGGCTACTCATTGTGATCCCAGGTAAGAAGCTCTATGGATTGTATTTATTGAAAAGTTGTAGGTGGTGATAGCAAAAGAGAAATTCAAAATTTGATGAAAGACTTTATAAAGTTCATGCTTCCAAGTGTACATTATTGTCCATTGGAAGAATCTAAAGGAAACCAAGAGCACTTAGTGAGGCTTGGAAAAGGTGGGGAAAGCCATTAACTCTTTTACCTCCATTATTTTGTAAAATAAATTCTCCTTAATGTCTGCCATACAATTCTCATCATGTAAGTTTGGAGAATTTGGTATTCGATCAACTTATAATCCACTAATTGATACTTTTCTTTATTCTCATCTCTTGTCTGCTTGATATTTTATTGATATTGTAAAGAAATATCCTGTCTTGGTCACTCATGGGAGTTGAAGGGTGAAAGGGGTTAGGAAAGAATTCTGATCATTTCCCAGTTTGCTCCCAATTGGTATCTCTCATCACTTGGATGCACATTGTTGCCTGAAACCCACATTGCTATTGCAATAAAATGCCAATAGATCGTGTGTTCAACTGCTGTAACAAACTGTCTACTGTATATTGATTAATACAATCATTGCTTGAATATGAAAGCAATCTTTCTACTTAAGCAGTAGTGAAAAGAAGGCCTGAAAAAAATTCAGGCCTTTACGGGATTTGAACCCATGACCTCTGCAATACTGGTGCAGTGCTCTACCAACTGAGCTAACAAGCCAACTGGGAGCTGGCCACTGTGTTGGTTCCAAATAAACCTGTGAAGTGGTGAATAAACAGTTGTGAAGATATGAAAGTCATATATTTGAACTGCGGATAAAGACGTGAATATGAAAGCGATCTTCACAGTTAAGGAAGAAGAAGAAGAAGAAGGCCTTCTTTTCACTACTGCTTAAGAAGTGTTCCTAACTGCAAAGATCACTTTCATATTCATGTCTTTATCTGCAGTTCAAATATATGACTTTCACATATTCACAGACAATCATTGCTTATTACCTTTTCTAACATTATCCTCTGTCTAATGCCTTGGACTAAAGCATGGATAGGATTGTAACAATATTGCCAATCTAATGGCTCCTCCAATATTTTTTTGTTCAATCTTTATTTATTTACTTGCACTTTGAATTCTCAGGTGTATTGCAAGCTGTGTTGCTGTATGCATTATCATTGCATTGATATTACAGGTATATTTTTTTACTTTGTGTCTTTGACAAAGACTTGATTATTGCAAACAATCTGAGGACAAATGTTAGAAAAATATTTTAGAAGAGGATGTTCAGAAAGCAACTTTTTTCCTCAGAAAATTTGGTTCTCATAAGAGGCATACTGTTTTGTTTTGTTTGTTTTTTTTTCATTTGTGCCTGGCCCATAGAATCCTGGAGTTTACTTAGGATTCCTCTATTGGTGCTGTGGCCTTAAATACAACAGCTAATATAAATATAACCATAGACTGAGGATAAATTTGCAAAGTGTTAAAATATTTATTTTGCTTTTTTATAATTTTTATTGCAAGGGGCAACATGAATTAACAAGCAAGTCTTCTCTTGAAGAATTACTTGAGAAATCGAAAGAGCAGGGAAAGGTTTACTTGGTAGAACCCTTTCATCAAAAGGATTTTCATCATTATTTTAATTGCCAGACCTGGCAGGAGTAAGTCAGCTTTTCTTTGGCCAATTTTTATAACGTTTTTTTATAATGTTTTTTTTTTAAATTAAATCAAGGAATGGTTTATGGTCGATTTTCATCATAATAATCATCAACATTGTTTTTGTTATTATTGTAAGAGCGCTTTTCAATGGAGTGTTGTAAATCCAAGGTATGGTAATCACAACAGCTAATCAGAAGAAAGTAAAATACCTTTAAGAGCCAATGGGAACCCAAAGTAATACCGACCTAAACTGCGAGTGACTATCGTCGTGATTGGTTTTAGGTTTCCATTTGATTGGTCAAGAGCATTGTGCAAGTTTTTTGGACCCATCACAGGGCAAAGTAAAGCAATTCTGGATTACTTTTGCCAGAAATTGCTCTTAAATCTAATCAAGGAGTGTTTCGTTTCAGCGTTGAGTTTTGTGAGCCTCGGATGACGGATTACACTATGAAGCCTTTAGGAGCTGGTTTGGTGGCACTCAGATCAATGAAAGATTACAAGTAAGTGCATACGCCAGATCATTTACCAATGACCCATTTCTTCTCCTCCCTGAATATTATCCAAAAGATATATATATATATCTTTTGGATAATATGCAGGGAGGAGAAGTTTGGAGCCTGAAAAAAAAAAAAACATTTACGACGTTATAGCTAAAAGCAGAAATACTTATCTATTTGGTTCTGCGTTGCCAGGGTTTTGTTGGAGATGTAGTTAATGCACTTTAGTGTTTGATAGAGTATTGATGACTCTCTTATGGGATATATCTCTGAAGACCTCCGAAGATCAAATTATCAAACCTCTGTTTGCCTGTAAAACTTCAAAAAAACAAAAAACAACAAAAAAAAAATACGCCAGCTCTTCAGGTTAGGTGAAATCAAACAATGTGCAACAGATTTTTTTTCTTCTTTCCCGTTTGAAATTCTTCTCACTTCAGAGAGTGAAAGGAGGAGGCAGCGATAGAGGCGGCGTGGCCGAGTAGTTAGGGCGCTGGACTTGTAATCTGGTGGTTCTGGGTTCAAGTCCTCCACCCTCCTACTCACCGGATTTGTTCTCAGTCTCCCCTTGTTCAACTCCTCGTATGCGCTGTCTAAATAGCCTAATGGTCTGTCTCCTGCCAATCTTGGGATTTTCTAACACTTTCTGTTTGTTTGGAATGTTTGTTTCTCTCAGTATGAAATGAATATATGCGCGTTATAGGTATCAAAGTTGTTACTATTTTGAAAGGACGCTGATTGCTTATTAACAGGACAGCGATAACGGAACTTGTCATGCAGGGAGGACATGCTACGTGTAACGCAGTTGTGGCTGGGGCCTTGTTAGGCTGTAAATTTGGATATTCTGAACTGCCGAGAGACTGGCTCGAGGGATTAATACCCCAACAAGTGACATGGCTAAATACGAAGATTAACTCACTGCTGGATATGATGGCTCTGCCTTGAGGGTGAAGGAAAACAATACTTTCACAGCCATGGTTTAGGTTTTCATACTACATGTCGTTAATAACAAGAATCAACGACAGGATGATACAAATTTGCTACATACAAGCACATTCCAAAGGCTAGATCAAGACGGTTGGAAATCCTTGGCACGTAAGATCCTTGTTCTGTGGGAGGAAATTATCAAATATCCACTCGCTCCATAAATTAAAACTTTAATTACCGCTCGACAGCGCCGTGTATTTTTCAACAGTAAAAGAAACAGTTCCGTCTTAGAGTAAACCGCGAAGTGAAAAAGGTTTTTGTTAGCTGAGAGTGCCAGGTAAAAAGATGTACGTATTGGACAAAGACCATACGAAAAAAATTTTTAGAGTCAAAAGCTATGCAATGAATTTTAACAGAAATTAAAAATTTCTCAAGTTTTACGTTATTTTATGGTGACATTTATGGGAAAAGCTGTTGACGTTTCCACTTTTCAGCTCCGTAACTGCAGTTCCTAAGCCCTTGCTCAATGTAGAACGACGGTCCAGAAAGATTACGGAACAAAGGAAACAACTTACTTGTGTTCGTTTATTTCGTTGCAGAAGAATCAAATAATTAACGCGTACACGACAATTTTAAATTAAGTACGCGTTGGCGTAAAGCTCACTAATGATGACTCTATTAAGAGTCCTAAACACGAGTTGCGTACAATCGTGGTATTACATAATGTTTTAAAGTTGAACTTAGACACGTGCGGGTAGAAACTGTTGAATGATTGATTTCGGTGTAAATGTTGTTAAAGGATTCCGAAAGGATAGTACAAACCCCAATTTCCCAACCTGAATTTTTCTAAAGACGCCTCATTTATACTTGGCCGCAATCCTATACAAAATTACAGAAGAACACCTACTTGCAAAAGGAATTCAGGTCAGGTGTGGAAGACCTCCGAAATATTCTTTGTAAACTGAATCTTTTGAAATTACCCCAACGTTATTACCTTAAACTAGCTGTAAATCGATAGTGATCCCATTATCTTTATAACAACCTAACTACCTGACAATTTTGATTATCCTCGATACATTGACCACAAACACCGTTGGTCAAAGTAAATTTAAATGCGCAAGTAAAATGTTATCATTCGTGACCTTAGGCTTCTGAGAACCCACGTATCTGCCCTCCGGCAGCCAAGACAATCCCCCTTTTACAAGGCACCCTCCACGAGCCACCTTATTCCACATCAATAATAAGAAACATAACAAAAAAGAGACTGGGTAACCTGTTCCGCGGTCACTGTAGGTGGATAAAAGGGAAATAGCGGGAGGGCGACGCTTCCACCGACATCCCGCGATTTTCCGCCTGACCGCACAGTCCGCGTTGCGTATGTCTCCCCTGATCACGAGCTAGGGGGCTGGAAGTGGCGGTACTCCGAAAGGCGATTCAGATGTCCGCTGGTCTCGACTTAGAAGGTGGTTAACCCCGATTACCTCCAACAGTCAGCCAGTACAAACGAACTCAAAGATTAATTTTGTAACCCGGTCTTCCCGATGAAGAACGGGGCAGCCGTTCAATAAACCCTTCTCGAAAATGGCGTTCAGCCGAAATTGAATCTTAAATGTAACATAACGGTGAATATTCCCCACAGCTCCAAAGTGAAATGTCCAAACCTCGCACCAACACTACCCATTTCTTCACAGAAATGAAGGTCTGAAATATTTTGTATTTGCATACCCTTGCATATGACCCTGGGCGAGGCATGCACTCCGAGCCAATCAAAATGTCCTTCATTCTCTTAAAATTAACAATATTTCGCCAGCTGAAATAACAGCTGGATGAGACTTCAGAAGCAAAATGACCAAATAAAAGGTGGTCATGTAGCTGAAGGTAAGTATATTTGTATACGTTTGTATGTATTTGATGATTTTCATTTTCTGCAGACATTTTCAAGAAGGGTCCATTTCAATAGTAACTGTCGTCAAAAATCTTTTACTTAAGGATGGGTTGTCCCGGGTACCTAAACTGACATAAATGAGGCTTAAGTGGCACAACTAATAATTTATCGATACGTCCTGGTGGTTAAAACCCCCAAAACAACATCTAACCTGGAAACATTTACCAGTTAACTGCTAAATTCGCTCTTCCAGACACTACTAACGAAAAATAAATGTTCCTGTAATATTTTTTCCAAGAATGGTACTAATTCCCCATGGTTACGACGGTATTTTGCGTATATCTTATTTAAATGTGTTAAACATTATGCTACCTAATTAATTATTTGCACTACCTATTACTTCAATAGCGCCCCTGATGATTTAATCGTAAACAGGCAAGTTTTACTAACTTATACCGCGCTCACACACGGACAGAGTGAACCACGTTGTCATCAGTCCACCTCGGTTAAGTGACCAATATAATTGGTGTTATTACTCAATCCGCCTTAACTTTTCACCGACAAGGTGAAATCATCCATGCGGAAAAATCGTTCTTGTTTCTATTAAACAGTCTGGAAAGTGCTTTAATCGTCTTCATTGTCAATGGAGTGCGTTGGTTTCCCAGTCGGTGTATCGTACTCTACTGTGAATTTAGCCATTTCGTTGCTGCACTCACTAAGGGGAATCACAAACGTCGATATATCATCGTACGAGGCTAACTCGCCATTGGTTCGTCTCCAACCTTTTTCATTCAGAGTGCCTCGCGCATCCCCAACAAGGGCCTGGGCTGCCATGACGTACCTGGAGAAAAAAAATGGACGTCAAAGAAAGAATGGCCTCCATTTGGCGATAGCAAATTACCGCATTTTTGTCCGTGGGTTTCATTTCCGAGACGCAAGCCGTTTTCCGAAAGCAGGGCCATTATCGGCTAATCATCAGAATAAAAGAAACTTGGAACAAATCTAGGCTATCGACAAAAGGCACAATTCTTAACTTTAACCCCTTAAGAGTGACAAGCATCCAATTTCTCCTTATAATATCCCCCCTCCCCCCCCCGAAACACACATTAAAGTCACGAGATTAAAGGAAATGATCACCAACTAAAGAAGCTCTTGATTGTTAAACAAATTCTCCTTGTCAGCACCTTAGGAATAGTATAGAGAACAGTGTGCAGAATATGCATATTAATGTCAAGGTGCAAAGGTCGACAAACTTTACTATCTTGAAATGGAAGAAAGCGCTGCTTAGCTATGTTAAAGTATTGATGCATACTTTACCTTCTTTTGTCGTCTTTTGGAATTTTGGAAAACGTATCCATTACCATTGCCGCAGCCTGAAAAAAAGTAAAGTGTTATAAGAGGTTTTGGGCTTCATGCCGAATACGTGATGAAAAGTTCCCCCACAAGTTTGCGGGTGGTGTGAAATGAATGGGTACTGTTGTGAAGTGACGGGGGGAATGGTTTAAGTTTGATAGTGGTGATGAACAGAGCGGAAAGTGGAGGGTGAGTATACATTGAGCCATTTGGGTTGAAGTGGAATTAAAAGCAAGGGGGTTGCGTGCGGGGAGTGAACTATAGGGGGAAGCCAAAAGGGGTACTGAGCCATTAGGTGGGATATGAAATGAGAAGTAGGGTAGAGAGTGCACTCGAGACTGGGGTGAGAAGTAAAGAGGAACGAAATAGAGGGTGCACGGGATGGAGAGTGTGGAGGAACTTAAAGTGAGGAATAACCTTGGAAAGAAATGGGGAAGCTTAAAGTGAAGTATGGACTAGCGTGGGAAATAAAATGGGGGAGGAGTTAGTAGTGAGGTCAAGAATTGAGTGGAGACTGTGCAGCGTCGAAGAGGAGGTAAATGATGGAATGTACCAGTGGACTACAGAGAAGAAAAAGTGATATGAATAAAAATCGATATGAGAGGATTCGGTAGAATAAATAAACAGAATAAATATACACAGCAATTTCGACAGCGAGCTTTTTGCACATAACTGATGGATAAGAGGAACATAAATGACAGGCTTAATGACCTGCTTTTGAAAGCACAATCATTTGAATTTGCGCAACAAGTCACTTTTTCTTTAACAAAAAAAATAAAGTGCGAGTTTCATTACCTTTTCACTGGATAATCTCTCCCAGAGTCCGTCGGAAGCCATTATCACAACATCATCCTCTGTGAGCTTACAGCTAGACAAGTCAAACTTCCGAACCTGTGAGGAGTACGAAAACAGGCACATGTAGCGGTAAAGGGGTTTTCCTTTCCACGATTAAGCCAGAATGCGGCATAAATGAGATTTTTCGATGACCGTCGAGTTTATCAAATACCGCCATCTCCTTATCTAACAACAACACATCCAAGTAATAGAGGGTTCGCCAGTAATTTCGATCCTTCACACCAAAATGTCTAACCATAGTGCTTATCTTCGATCACGCCTCCCGAGCCCCAACCCTTTTGGCCAGATTTTTTTATTTTGACAGCCAGTTATGATATTTCCGCTTACATCTTCGCTGACCAAGAGGATTGCGGTACAGGAACGAATTAGAGTTTATTTTGCAAACTTCGTTTCATCACGCTGTTACAATAATAACTCTCAGGTCTGTTACTACAGCTCCTATTTGATGACTCCAGTATCAGTTAAGGTATATCAGTAGCCGCAAAACGCTTACCTCTGGTTGTGGAGTGAGAAAAGGTTTAATAGGAAGGCTACAGAAAGCCACTCTCAAATCATGATCTCCAAACCCACGAGTTGTTCCTATGGTGTCCAAAAGGCGGGCCTGGTAAACAAACAAATCATACGCTTCTTAACAATACGACTAGTCCGTAAATTGGTGGGTTCTTCCATAACTTGCAAGCAGGCCCTGATCAGTAGTACTTCGGCACGAGCGTTTCCTCGTTCGCGCAAAAATAAGAGGCCTTGAGCAACGCAAGCTTGAGAGGTCAGCATGAGGTCTAGCACGGTAAACCTCTCCCCAGATCGCCAGATCGTCTCTTTCCGCGGGCAGAGAAACACGCGTCCTGCAGCACTAAAAATGAGGGCCTGCACACAGGCTAGTTCTTTCACCATGAAGAACCAGATCCGTTAAAACGCTGTTCCTTTGAACTACACATGAAAATTAATTTGGAGAATCACTTGTTACATATCGTGCGTGGCAGGCTCTGAAGTAAGAACAGAGCGCAATTATTAAAGGTAATCGAAGTAGAATGGTCTCAAGCCCACGCGCGTCCTTTGAAACTCGCGCACACTTTTCTCAAGCGCTTCCTGCTTAGACACATCTCAAGAGAGGTAGTTCCTTCGCTTGTGCATGAAACCGTTCAAGGCTAAGGTCTTACCACCACTTAGAGTGCATTTTGCCACAAGCAAAAGTAGGATGAAAGCATTACGGTGTTGTGATGAGCACATGCGCATATGGGCCGTTTCAATCAAAGGACGGAATATAATATTAGCAAGATGACCTCCAATTGACCTCCTTCTAACTGTATAAACAAAGTTTCACTTTTTTGACGTGACGAGCGTATGACATGCAGTACGTTCTGATTGAATAGAAACAGAAACGAAAATACAAAATAAATAGAATGAGTCTTGACAATACCTTCTTTCCTTCACCGTTAATCATTGGAAATTTTCTTGTGTCCTCCTCGGTCACCGTCTTAAGAGCCCTGTAGAAGTGCAGAAGTGTCAGAGTATCAGAGTCACAACTTGTAAGAGGTTAATAAGTCTCTCTAACTACTCCCTGGTCAGATTCTTAGTGAACTACCGATAACGTTCTGTAAGGCCGGGTTGTTCAAAGCTGGGTTAAGATAACCCAGGGATAGTGTAAAATTTAGAAACCTATATTAAAACTCAACCCCGGGTTAGCGCTAATCGAACAACCGAGTCCTGAGTCCTAAGAATTAAAAGCCTGCCACCGAGTTCTTCCTTCGGTGCCCCATTGGGGAATTGAACACAGGCGGCCATCAGGGGTCAACCCTAGTTATGTGGGGCACACCAACGGAACCAACTCCTAATCTGTTCATCTTCTAACAAGCGTAATATATTCCAAGTTCTTCATTTGCAATCCGTCTAATTATCCGCCAACCTTTCCAGTTCTCATTCTTCATTGTCTTATTCACCCCCCACCTCCCCCCGTTAGCCCTGGCCTGGCCCCCACAGCCCCCCACACCTCCCCCCCCATGGCACCCCCCTTCCTCCACGCACAGTAAACAATTATTTAAGAACTTTTCAATGACCCAAACAAAAAATGGGGGTACAGCCTCTAGAAAATATGACGGATCTGTGGAAGCAAACAGTCAACTGCAGTGGAGACAATGGATGAAGAAGGTGAATGGCAAAGATCTGTTATCAGGCAGCGTTTTTTTTGCACATTGACTGTAACCTCCAGATGATATACTGTGTGATTTGGCAGCAACACAAACTTTGCAGAAGCACAAAAATGAAAAAAAAAAAAAAAAAAAAAAAAAAAAGAAGAAGAAGAAGAAGAAAAACATACCATCCTGTCATATGTCGATCCCTATAAAGCAACTTCTGACCAATATGTTTTTTCCTGGCCCTCTGCTGAAATTCAAGCCGGCCAAAGTCACTTCCTAAAAGCTGGGGTTTCTGATAAGCCTATCAGAGAACAAAAGCATTCATAAGCAAAATCACACAGAAATGTTTCATGAATGTTACTAATTTGTTAGGTAACAAACAAGTGTAATATATTTTGGTTCACTAATTTTTCACAACTTACAAGTAACTGAAGTCTTTGTCTCTCTGTCTCTGGTGTGAAGTCGTATGAAAGAGGAATAACTTTGCCCTTGTGGACTAGGATTGCTCTGATGAAATCATTAAAACAGAAACAAAACAAACAAAATAAAATTAAAATATATTGACCCTTTCACCCCTGAGAGTGACTAGCATATAATTTCTCCCTACAATATCACTCCTGAATTAACCATTAAGGTCAGGAGAATAAATAAAATGATCACCACCTGAATAAGCTCTTGATTATGAAACAAATTCTCCTTGTCAGGACCTTACAAAATGTGTAGATAACAGTATCGAGAATATGCATACTGATGTTAGGGTGTAAAGGGTTAAAGCAAATACACCAATGCAATAAGAGCCCTTTTTTCCTTTTTTTTTCACAGCCTCATCTAAACATTGAAGGGGGTTGGGAGAGTTCAGGAAAGTTACACAAACTTTAACAATAGCAAGTAATACTTTTCTGTTTTTGATTTGCCAATGTGTCCTTACCTCTGCTGTGATCACAAGAACCAATTATAGAGCACAGAGTAACAGAAGGTTTTTTGCATTGTTCAAAAAGAAGTATCCATCAGGTGCATGTGCTAAGCGTCACTTTACAAAATCAAAATGGCATCCTCTCACTTAGCTATACATCCATGCAACCAAACCTCTGTTTCTTTAAAATTTGGGTAATCCATTTGGTTACTCTGCACACATCAAAATTTGGACTACTTTGTTTGCAATTTTAGATTTCAAATATTTGAATGGCTAGGTGTCTAAAGTATTGTATGGCAAGGGAGATTCTGTGTGAATGAAACACCCATGGCGTGAGTGAGTCGTGCGGTCAGTCAACGACAGTGACCTTAACAAATTTGTTCAAACCATGAATATCTACCCTTGGCCTAAGATTAAAGAGACTACCTGCAGTCCCCTGCATTAGCAACATATAACTTCTCTCCAAGAAACAGGGCAACAATTGATGCGCAGCCTCCATCAATCCTGTAGGTGACTTTCTCTCTTCGAATTTGTTCATCCTGTTAAAATTCATTAATTCATAATAATAAATTCTAAGTGTTTATCTTTATTGAGGAATGGATTATGGGTGAGCAAAAAACTGCAGGAGGGTTATTTATATTTCTAGTACCCACTGCCCTTGATTTTTACCATAACAGTGGTGCCACTTTACTGCTTGTCTCCACAAACCCAGTAACTGAGACAGACCAGTAGCACCCAGGTTTGTTGTTGATCTTCAAAGCAAAGGATTGACTCTTCCCAGGTTAAAAAACTTTTCTCCTAATCACATGATGGCTCCATGTTGGGTTTAGACAAAAAGAAACGGCAGGCGCAATAGAAGCAAGCTGCAAATAGTGTTTCACACTCAGTTTGCCCCTTAAAAATTCATTTGAGCTCACCATTTCTTTTAGTCCTACTGCATAAGAGAACTTGTTCACAGGATATGTAAATGTCACCAGATGCCTCTAAACTCACCATTTCAAAGAAGGCCTCTTCTAAGACTCCAATCACAAGACTATCAATAGTCACTGAAGAGATAACAGCTTCAGATAATTCCTCTCCTGCAGCAAGTTTTTCATCATTTTCATAAGCCAACAATTCTTTTACTCCATGCAACTTCTCCATTATATGGACATGAAGGTTATTGACAGCCATCAGAGCTGCTCCACATCCAGCATGGCCGTCAAATACACCAAAATATGCGTAAGGGATCTTGGTCTGAAAATTGAAAACATTATCATTTCTGGTACTTATTAAACAACTTTTATCCACTTAACAAAATCAAAATGCATAAGTTAAATTTCAAGTTATCAGTTCCAACCAGATGTCAAGTTACATGCATGTACATGTACTAATGGGATTTTTTAAAGACACCATTGAATTAAAAACTCATTCTTGGAATGATATAGTTTAATGAATATAACTGGAAATAATGAAATTTAAGGTTGGACCATACAGACATGCATACCTGTGTAACATGGGTTGGACTTCCATCACCATCTGATTCCTGGGTCAACTTGCTGACATTTAAGCAGAACATTCCAGCCACCGATTGATCTTCATTTTTATGTGGCGTTTTACCAGCATTTATTGCCCTAAAGAATATTTTTATGTATTTATTCATTAAAATCAATTTGTTAACGTGGCTTGATATGAAAATTTGATAACATTTATGAGAAAAATCCTCTCACTCCCAAGATCACATTACAGATATAGTAGGACAAAAATAATTATTGGTCATATGTGGAAGTGAAAAATATTTTGCAATTCATAATTTTTTTATCTTTGTGAATTTTTTTCTATAGAAATAATTACACCGCAAACTATGCAAACCACATAAATGAATGAAGGGAATAAGTTTCTAAAGAAACTGTAGTACTGCATCTGTGGGAAAGTATAATAGCAAAATCGTCTTTTGCTCTGACAAAGGGCTGACACTCAAAACATCAACTTTAAAACTCTGTTATGCAAACCACGGTCCTATTTGCGATTGTAATTTTTTTTTCAGACAGGTATAATTATGTTTGTCACTGTATCTTCATTTTTAATCCATATTTGGTTTTATTTCAATTCATTAAGATGCATAACAGACAGCATTCTTAAAGGATGAAGAAGCAAGCAACACCTTCTAGAAATGGCATTCAAGTCCACAACAGAATCAACAGCTAACACGGACTGCAGAATTGAGCAGACAAATTGCTTAATTATTATTTCATTCTCTCAAACACAAGAGGTTTTTGAAAATCGTGTAGTTATTATCTAAAACTTTAAACTCATTGTGTATTTATCTTAAACTCTAAATTTTTAGCAAATAAATTTAAACAACAAGCTATTCTGTGTCATGGTTTCATTTTCAAGTCAACAGGAAGTATATATACATAAGCTGACGCACCAAAATTTAAAAATCCTCGCTCCAGCACCACAAACAACGAAAAAAAAGGTGTCCCATTGAGATCACTGAATTGCTTTATCAGGGCAAATATCGCCATTATACTCTTAAATCCAAAAATAGATTAGAAAAATAAAGAAAGTAACTACCTAGAATAAAATCGATACCTAGCTACCTTCAAATCACGGCGATAAGACACAGTCCTGTTAATGGAGGTTTACCGAGGTGCGAAATATTAAGAATTGAGTGGAACAGGGCACTAAAACAAGTCTTACTCATTCATAATTAACCTCGCACCGCTTGTGGACATAAGAAACTAAGATCGACTCGCGACAGAATCCAGTCAAAACTCAATGAGTAAAGGTTAATTTTTATTGATTTAAATCGAGGGTTTTTACTTCCAACGCAAGAGGAGAAGAAAGGTAAACGAAGAAGCTGCCTACGAGGTTATCATAAGAACAGGAAGTTAATGGATATAGAGCCTTCGCTAAGTATAGAAGGAATACAATATTAAGTAAACTAGGTAACTAACAACGGATACGGCCGTTGAATTACGATTAGATCACTTACTCGGCATATCCTGCATTCAAGGGAAGTTCCCTGTGTGGCATAAGAATCGCTCTTGAATCATGATCGGATGCCGCTTGTTCAGATTCTTCGTTCAGTTGGAGAAATTCAGGCCTTCGATACTTGTACTTTTCTTCCAACATATCATCATATACACGTAAGCCTAAGCGCCTGTCCGAGTTCACGTTGGTAAAGTAGGCAAGCGCACTGGCCGGGTTAATGTTTAGCATTCGTTTGATGCCATGTAAGCTCATAGTTGGATCCTTAACTGGACATTTAGGGCTCTTCTTCAGGAAAGAAAATAAAAGATGGATTTGCCGAAGGAGCGTATTTGGCGGAAAAACCGCTGGTCAGAAAAAGCGGAACCGCGCCGCTCCATTAGTGCAGGGCAAGCCGATGCAGGTCAACACGAAACACTTAATCATTTGTTAGAATAAACTGAGCCCCCAAAACTTATTCAGCGGTCAAAAGTTGAGCATCCGCAAATAGATCATTATAAGCCAGCTGCGCGCAAATTTCCTGCGCAAAATTTTGAAATAAAATCTATATAAAAAACCGGTGTCACTCACGCAAAATCCGCTATTGTGCTCGTAAAAATCCTAGAGAGTTGCTCACTTGAATGCTAAAAGTTGCCAACAGATTGAAAAATTCCAAAACCTGAATTTAAAAAGTTGCTGCTAAGTTTCTTGATGTTTTTACTGACATAAACGTTAATTAAAAGCCATATTTTTTTGTTCTTACCTTTTAAGAGTTGAACGCAACTAAAGGCGGCTTCTAACCAATTACTCCCGTTCATGGAAGGAAATTAACAAAGACAGCCATTTTTGCGCGTCACTTTAGCCGATTATCCGTTCTAATATTAGATAATAGGCCTAGGAAATATTCAAGAAATTTGCATAAATCGAAGTTTGTTATGAAATCGTTGACTTTATCGTGCTTGATCCATGATGTGCTCTAAGCCTATATTTTGCTCAAAAATCGCCACTGAGAGGCAAAAATTGCTCGATGTTGCTAAAAAGATGC